GTTCACACATTTCACATTGAAATTTCCCCTTCACACATTTCCAATGAAATTCTGTGCAGCATAATTTGAAAAGCTCTGGAATAATGGAAAGAACGCTTGACCAGGAGTTAGAGTCACAGTCACTGGGTTCCGTTCAGCCAATCAGTCCAATTTAATAGACATTTATTGAGCATTGTCAGTGTTCTAAGCACTAAAAAATGATAAGGGGGAAAAAGGGACTTTGGAATCTTACCTTCAAGTGTAAGAAAAAGCAAGTACAGGAACAAGTGTAATAAAGTGTTGCAGGTGCTTTGGCAGATTTCTGGACAAGGTCAGTGATACATGACAACCACTTGGGGCCTTGTTTTCTGTAAATTTAAAATAAATAACTGGAAACAAACTGCATATGGAATCTGACGTATTTTATATGCATGACTGTTCGATTCCATCACTCCGGGCCTTTGACTTGATATCACAAAGGAGAGCTGCTGGCAATGGACATGACGAAATGGACATGGCATGTGCCTCTTTGATGTTTTGAATTTTAGAAGAGTTTGTCATGATGGTCAGAAAGGCAGGAATAAAAAAATTAATACAATGTATGGTTGCCAAGGAAAAGAATCAGGCAGTAGCATCTCCAGCCTTTCCACAACACCCCTTCTGCCTCCACAACTCATGTAAAACCGGGCTTTCCCTTGATCACAAAAGCTCTGCTCCACTGGAGGCCTCTCACCCTCCAACTCCACCCTCAAGCCAGTTTCATGAAACCCAGGGGAAGGGTTGATAAACCTTCCACGTAGAACAGTAAGAAGAACGTAGGCAGTGGACACTTCTTGGATCTACATATTTGATATATACATACATATGTATTATATAAGTATTTCTATTACTTTATGTCTGTTGACACTTTATTCTTTGTCAGTGGAATGGCTTTCACTTTATATTTAACTTTTAACGCATTTTCATTTTAATATTGAGTTTAATATGCTTCCTTTCCTTTGCACCATCCCACAGCCACCAGACTCCTTCCCAGCCACAGTTCTTTCCCCTGCCGCGTCATTGTTTTCTCCTTCAACCCCGCGCTACTTAATGTCTACCACTCTCGCGATGCTTCCCATCTCCCTGTCTCCAGGATACTCCTTGCTTGAAGACTTTCACAGCTTGCTCTCAAATTCCCATTCCCACCTAGGAGCATCTCCACTCTCAACTTTATCTGTTAACATTAAGGGAGGCACCATGGTAGAAAGAGTATGAATTTTTTGAGTTAAAAATAATTTAGGGTCCAATCAGCTGTGTAACTTAACCAAGTCACTTAATCTCTTCAAATCCTAAATCTCTAATCTTAGAAGCACCAGAGTAATAACAATAGCCATGTTATGGAACATTTCATATTGACTTACCATTTGTAGTTGCCATTCATATTTTCTTAACTTTTGAGAATGACTGTGATAGAGATTAGGAGTAATGTGTCTACAGTGATAAACTCCATTTGTTAAAACTCTTTACAAATAATTGGAAGTTAAAATGAAACAACAGTCATTATTCCTGACAGCTTGACCTTAAACAATTCTGGAATTAACATCCTGGCCCCATAACCATGACTGACTTCTGTTTCACCTTTTTCACAAACACAACTATGCTTCCTCTGGGTGCCGGAGATCAGCGTCGGCTGCATGTCAGACGTCTTTGGGAGCTTCAAAAACATACCGGCGCTGGGTTTGTCCCCAGATTTAGATTTAATTTCTCCTAGGTGGAGCATGGCATTAGGATATTTTTGCAGCTCTGAGATGTTAAACTAAATCCATGCCCTTGCTTCACTTGTCCAGCTCTTCCACCCGCCCACCCCCCACCTTTTCACCCCTGCTGAAACCTGTCTGAATCCTGCCATTAACTCTCCTGTATTCGTGCAGTCTGCTCCTTGCATCAGACACCACCTCGTTCAGCCAGGATCCCAGAGTGAACTATGCATACCAAACTTTTCACCACCAATTTTAACAAAATGACTGTTTGCTTGCCATTTTTGTGGTTTACAGGTACCTTTCTTAAAGTTCTCATTCAAAGAGTCCTTGACAGATTCCTGTTTCTTTTTGACATTTTCAGGACCATTAGTCAATCCTCAACTAGTGACCAGTTCAATGCTTTCTCTCATCCTCTTTTATCAAGAATTGGGTTAAATTCATAACACTCTTCTGGGAGAAAGAAAAATGACCAAATTGAGACACTAAAACTTTTAGTCCACCATCTCACATTTAGAAGCTATAAGTTATTTTTTAGAATCTATTCTTTAATCTAGGAAGCAAAATGTGAGCCAGCGGGATAAATCTTGCTGATGACTTAGGGCAGTGTCATGTTTTATTTCACTGGGTATCATTGGCATTTGAGCATATTTAGGTGGACTAGGAACTTTCTAGTTTAGGTTAGGCTCCAACTTTTCTTATTGTTTTTGTAGTTGGCCACATACATTTACCAGTCAGAGAGGTTTGAGAATAAAGAGGGACTTTAAATTTGGTATTATTTCCAGTTAGGTTTTGTGTTTTTAAGGCTTAAGGGCCAAGCCATTATTCTGGTTTGTCTTGAATATGGTTAGTTCATATCCAACCATGAGTTAAATTGATGCTTTTGGATAATTGTTGGACGGCAGGACTGAAAGGGTGTCGGGAGGCAAGCAGGGTAGTCATTTCAGGAAGCAAATGTAAGAATCTGAGCATGTTCATCTTGAGATTAGACTGAAGAACTACAGAAAAGAAAAATGTTTTCTCAAGAGTTTTGTTCAGGCAAAAATTAGGTTATAATAGAAATGTAATTAGACTAGGAAACAAAAGTGGTCAGAAGGAAGAACAAGAATGCAAGTTGCTGGGTGGAATCGGGTGTGTTTGGCCCTGTCCGTGATCTTGGGAGAGCCATCTATATATCAGGTGCCACCTGCTTTGACCCTGGAATGGGAATTCTAGTGGTTGTGTTGGGTTGTTTAGAGATTTTCAGTTTCGGGTCTCCAGCAGCCTGAGATGACCACTCAGGAGTGGATGTCCTTTTTAAATGAGGAACATGAATCTGTGAGTCAGTACCCTTCAGTGTAGTGGTACCAGGGCGAGTTAGTAATACTATGGCCCTTTCCATCAGGGCTGAAGGGCATCTTTACAGAAATGCCATTTCCAAAAGACATCATCTCCAGGGTGGGGATCATGATGTAGGATCTCCATCTCCCCAATTCTGTAATGGAAAGATTCCTGTAGGAAAATGGAGTTAGTCTGCAGGGCCCTATAGGTTCTTTCCAGTAAATCAGGAGGCATCGGGTCAGCGATGCAGGTTCATACATTCCTTGATCTAATCTCATGGGTCTGCTGGTGATGCTTTCAAAAGGTGACAGTCTGTGTTTGCTGAAAAGAGTAAATCTCAGGCTGAGCAATACCCAGGGAAGAAATGTAGGCCAAGGCAGATTAAAAGAATCCACCAGTTTGCCAAATGAGTTTTGATTATCAATTTAGCCTGTTCTTTGAGACTGGAGGACCGGGGATGATATGCACCATGGAAGTGTTTCAAAACCAGCCAGATCTTACCAATAAAATGTGTAATGTGTCCTGTGGTGTGAGTTACTCAGTCCCTAAAGACTTCTGACGGGATTCCCCAAATAGGAGAACTTTTCTGGGAGTCAATTTACGTACTGCTGAGGCTGCGGTTCTATGGCATGGGAATGCTTTCACCCAAGGAGAAAACAGACAGTGGGGCACAAACACATATTTGTATCCTTGAAGGCAGCAACCAAATAAAATTCATTTGCCAGGCCTGAAAGGAGCTTAAACACAAGGGGAAATGCCTAGGACAAGTATGAATGGGTTTTCCAGGGCTGTACTCTAAACAAATGTGGCTTACACACACACACACACACACACACACACACACACACACACACACACCCCTGGGAAGCTATCTTGGAAATGGCTTCAAGTAGTGTTTTTTTTTCTCTGAAACCATTATGTCTGTGTCCCAGTGAGTTCAGTCATGTACATATTGTAGCATATGATACTGCATGTGATCAGGGAGAACTACCGGTCATTTGGACCGTAAGCTTCTTTTAGGGTCAAATGTATAGCCTTTTTCTAAGCATTTCTTTTTGTTTGATTGAGCAGCTAAGTGCAGTGCTTCCATAATTTCATGTTTTATGTCCCTAATTACTTCAGCTGGTAGCAGAGATGTCTCCATTAAGGGCCGCGATTGTTTTAATGCTGCTAACTTAGCAGCAACAAGATTGATCAAGTGATGACCACCACTTTTCTTTGTGTTTGACATTGAATGTCCAGGAAATGTCATGGTTGCTAAAGATTTGGGTAATTGGATAGCCTTTAAAAGTTCTAAAACATAAGAACTTTTTTGAACTTTTGTGTGTGAAAGAAGTCAAGAACTTGTCTCTGTTTCCAGAGCATACTAAGGTCAAGGGCAACACCAAAGGTGTACCTGCTGCCAGTATAAATGGGAACCATCACACCCTTGGCCAGATGGCAAGCTCAGGTCAATGCACAGCACGCTGCTTGTTGAGCAAAAGTTGCCCGAGGCATGATAGCCTCGCCCTTTCCCTCCCACGCCCACCATAGCCCTCTCTGAACCCTGGGGAAGAAGCATCTGGCATTTCTTGTCTTTCCTGGAGAAAACTTTATTCAGGTCTTTTAGATGATTTTGAATATGCATGTACAAATCAAAAGAAACAATAAATACTTTGTTGCTACCGTTGACCTTCTCTTGTAGCATCACTCTGATGGGCCATGTCACCAAAAGTCTGCTTATTTAATCCAGTGAAAAACTTACTTCCCTTCTAGGAATGCACACCGATAACAGTGCACAGAGACGGGGAGAACAGAGTGCGAGAAAACAAAACACCAATTGTATAAATTTACTGTGAATTTAAACAATTTTAATAATTCAATAATGTGGTAAAAATGCATCCATCCAAAGAAGAAAAGCAAGGGTGAAAGAATGTAATGTGGTTGGGTACCTTATTATAATAACGATAAGGTTATTATTTTTAGCCACAGTCTTCCTGGAGTTTTGGAAACGAAGAAGAAGCACACTGACCTACACTTGGGACCTCATTGAATGGGAAGAGGAGGAGGTAAGATGTTAGGAAAACCGAAGATGAGGAAACTGGGGTGACAAATTGTGCAGAGTATTGTTCACCGCCCTTGACATGTCAATCGAAAGCAGCTAAATAATATTAGACTTTCCTTGGATGTTTTTTTTTTTACTAACAAGACTTTTTATTTAATGGAGATACAAGAGATCACGGATGAGGCAATGTAATTTTCCTTAAACTACATTTGTGGAAAATTGGGGTGGTTAAAATACATAGTTCAGGGTGGTTTCTCTGGAAAGTAATTTGCCTCTTATTTCTTCTTTGACAAGACTTGATATAAAAATAATCCAAAAGGCAGGAATTTTGTATCAATGCTTTGATCCATTTTTGTATCAAAAAATCAGTTTTGTAGGAATTCTTAGATAATTTTAAATTTTCTTCCTTCGGTATTTAGTAACCTGCAGTTTCTTTCATAGGAAACGCTCCGTCCCCAGTTCGAAGCAAAGTACTACAAGATGGAGAGAGTGAATCCCATCAGTGGAAAACCTGAGCCGCATCAGCCTTCTTCAGACAAAGTCAGCCGTCTCCTGGTCTCTATCTCAGGGATATTCTTCATGGTAAAGTATCGCCATTGATGTCAGAATGTTGTGGGATTCCAGGGTTAGAAGGCAGCTCTGGGATAGGTACCAACTCATTCTGTGATCCCAATAATGCAAGAGACCACATCCTGTTCAGTACTTTGGTGCTCCATAGTATTACACAAAATAAAACTCACGGCAGGTCATGGGGTAATGACCAAGGGAGTTTCTGCGTGTCCACAGGTAAAACACCCTATGGAAGAGATGAAGATCATCTAAGGTAAAATGGAAATTGTATGAGTTGCCCTGATGAATTAGTTATCTTCTTTTAAAACCAAGTATTGCATTAAAATTTAACAAAACTCTCATTTTAGTGTGAGAATTAAATGTATATATACTTTCTTAGAAAAATTAATTTCTTTAGCTCTTGGGAGCAGCGTATTGATCTACGGTTTTGCTTTGTTTGGTTAATTGTGCAAAATACGGTTGCCTCCTCTTGGTCCCCTGGATTGCAGATCTCGTTGGTGATCACTGCAGTGTTTGCTGTCGTGGTGTATCGCCTGGTTGTCATGGAGCAGTTTGCATCATTCAAGTGGAATTTCATCAAACAACACTGGCAGTTTGCAACATCTGCAGCTGCTGTCTGTATCAATTTTGTAATCATCATGGCCCTGAACCTTGTAAGTGTTTATAGTTTTTCAACAGGTACAGAAGGGAAGAGGTGTATATTTCCTTTATCCTTAGCTTGTATTTAGAGGAAACCAAAATAAGACCAAGCCATGTCACTGGCAAAGACAATTCAGTTTAGCAGAAAATATTTTATCTCTGTAGTTCATATGATAGATTCCTTCAAATTAAAATAAATGAGCCCTGGCTGGTGTGGCTCAGTGGACTGACTGCTGGCCTGTGAACTAAAGTATCTCTGGTTTGACTCTCAGTCAGGGCACATGCCTGAATTGTGGGCCAGGTCCCCAGTAGGGGGTGCACGCAAGGCAACCACACATTGATGTTTCTCTCTCTCTCTTTCTCCCTCCCTCCCCCTTTCTCTAAAAAGAAATAAATAAAATTTTTAAGTAAAATAAATGGTTGTTGTACAAGAGGGGACCCCCCAAAAAATCTAGAATTATCTCCTGGAGGGCAGACCCTTGTGGTACAGGCTTCCCCCATTAGGTGAGTGTTCTAGGAACCCATCTGTATCAGTGTACCAGCTGGCATTGTTGTCAGAGGTTGTATTCGGAGAATTTTTCTGAAGACTCTTTCAATGTGTGTGCCCACTGCATGGTGGGTGATTTACAAGCACACCTGCCCACCCTGTGCTGAGTATTCAGCAGTTTTTTACCAAAAAAACATGGCACGACCCAGCATGACCCCCCATGTCCCACACGCCCTATTGATGAGAACCCTCCCTGAGAAGCTTTTTTTGTTTTTCCAATGAAAAAGGTCCTCAAAGGGAAACATTTTGCCAGTGTGGAAGAGGTAAAACAAAAAACTACAGAAGCACTAAAAGGCATCAAAATCAAAGAATTCAAAAACCGTTTTGATCAGTGTAAAAATTATCTCAACAGGTGTAATTGTATCAAATGGAGAGTGTTTGGTGACTGAAGTTTAAACATGTAGCAATAAATACACAAATTTTTATGAATAAATTCTGGGGTTTTGCCCCCCCTTCCGTATTGTTGAAATTCCTTGCCCTTTGAGTTTATAGTTTGATTAGTGATAACTTCATTCACAAACGTCCAGTGTATGCTAGAAAGTACTATATTCCTTTCACTCAAGTAAAAGATTGCTTGGATTAGAAAACCATTCCCAACAAACTCAAACTCACAGGAGAATTTGGTAGAAAGATAAAGGAAAATCTGAAAGTAAAGGGTTGTTATTGCCAGGGCCTCATGTGAAGTCAAAGACAGACATAACCACTCCATTTTTCTTTCTCTGGGATGAAGCGTTTTTCTCCCCTTCCTCCCTTACCCCCCTCCCCCGCCTCCTTCTTTCTGTCTAACTTCCTTCCTTCCTCCTGCATCCGTGCTGCTGTTTGCATATCTACTCTGTTCTACCAGGAAGAGGACTGTCTGTGCCCAACCGTGACCTGCCATTCTGGTCCAGCCCCGTGTGCTACAGCACTTCTGTTTGTGTTATCTTCTTTGGTTCTAACCACAAAACCGCACCGGTCAGCTTTCAACAGTTCATTTCACATGTATCATCCGGTTATTTCAGGGTGCTCATTTCTCAAAGATACCATCTGATTGGTTTCACCATCACATACAGCGTGTGACTTGTGAACCAACAGCTGAATGGGCAGCATTGGGCCTGGGCCTACCTACCCCTTCAGCAAGGCCTATGGATGAGGGTCTGTTTTCTCTGGGTTTGAAGGGAAGAGACAGTGATTGACACCTTTAGGGTGACGTCTTTAATTCTCCCAACAACACCACAGGCCAATATTCTCTCCATTATGTAAATGAGAAAACTAAAAATGGAAAGGCTTAAATAACATGCCCCGAATTATACATATAGTGTTAGTGCTGGCATATTGACACCATGTGATAATGTATGTAGATAGATTAGCAACACTCAAATAATAATGTTGATCATTATTTGTAAGTCATAAACATTTAGTTCCAAATGTGGGTTGACACTGATGTCACACGCTGAGCCTGGAGAGGTTTAGGGCCATTTGCTATTAAACGTTGAACTAATCGGGGAGGCCCTGACAGAAAAGTGAACAGTCACTGTAATCATTCAATGCAAGGATGATTGTTAATATTTTCTACTGGAGTCTATTCTCTTCAGGTTCATTTTCATTTGTAGAAGGAGAATATTGATTACAGTATCTTCAAAGAAGCCATACAATATTTTAACATATGCCCTTGGCTTATAGACTAAAGTGAATAATAAGCACTGAAAAAATAGAATACTAGGAAAGAGAGGCTTCAAGAGCAGTATAGGTTGTGCATTGCACAAAGTCACCACATTGAAAGAGAGCCATTCATCCCACAGACATTGTAGTTTTTTTAACACTTATAATAATACTCTTATGGTAGATAGTGAAAGATCTTATTTCTAACCAAATCAGTATATCTTGAAAGTTTTCCAGTGGACAGAGATTATTGTGGTTAGCCCCATTTTCTGAGGAAAAGGAGGCTAAGTATTTGATGTGTTTATTTATAGGTAACACTAGCCATCTGCCAGCCTGACCTTGAATTGAATTCGTTTCTTGCCCTTAGTTAGTTGGCTGACATTAGAATGATTGGTCATAGTGCTGCTCTCCATTAGCTTATCAACCAGCCGGAAAATAAGACTCAGGGCACAATGGGGGGAACCACATAGTTGAAGCACGAGAAAAACCTGAGTAAGATGAGAAAGAAGCCATCAATCGCATCCGAAATGAGGTGGTGGGATTGTGATAGTGGATCAGAGGGCTCAAAGGGAAGAAAAGAGGGCACTCTCTCTGATGAGCCAAGAAAGAGAAGGTAGCAGATTACCATTTGAAGAATTCAACCTACAGATATACAGAAACACAGAAGTGCATGTTGTCTGTCCTGAGGAAATTTTAAGAAGTGTCTTTGAAAAGTGCATTTATGAAAGACTGAAGAAAATAAGATTAGAAGAGAAGACCAGTGCCTGGCTGTGGCGATCTGGAGTAGCACATAATACAAAGAATTTAAACCTCATCTTCCCCTCTGCGGGTAGTGGTGAGCCATCTGGGTGGGTCCTTGGTTAGCCACCAAACAACTTAGCAGATACGTTTACAGATGTAAAAGGCATTTGAATATGAAAATATATTACAATGTAGTTGTTTTGCTAATAAATTTTTACTCTCAAGAAAATAAAATTCTGGGAAAAAAATTAAACGTTCAAAACTGCTAGAGTAAAAAAGAAATCCTGATTAGACAATGAACTCTGAAAGAAATTGAAAATAAGCATTATGAACTAGTGATACTATCTTGTCGAAGGCTCTTATAAAATGAGATATTCTTTTCACTTTTAAATAAAAGGTGTTTTCATGTGTGCAAATGAATTCAGAATTTAGACAAAGATTTAATGCTTTTTGAGCAAACATAAACCTGATTTTAAAATATATGTGGCAAAGATAGTATCAAGAATCAAATTAAAGAGCAATTATAGCCAACAGGATAAAAATTGCAAGTATATATCAAAATGTTATCATAAGTTACCTCTGAAAAGTATAGGTGATTCTTTATTATCATAACATCTTATCTAATGTTAAATGTATATTTGTATTTTCTAGATTGTCTTTGATAAGCTTATGTTGCATTTAAAGCTACAAAAAGACAATATTTGATATTAATTTCCAATATTCTAGTTTAAAGAAATCATTGAAAATGGTAGCCAAGGATTTATTTAGAGGATTCTTATCATAATATTATTTGAGAGCAAAAATAGGAAAGAGACTCCCTAAATGACTAAAAACACAAAAAATACATTAATTCAAATTCTATGGAGTGTCATAAAACCAACTAAAATGCTATTTTAACATCAGTTTAGGACATGCAGTCACATAAAAATGATATATAATTGCCCTTGATTTTTATTGGACCACATCTACATTTTGGAGACAATAAGGAATGAGAAGAAAATGTTCACTGTGGTTCTCTCTCAGTAGTGGGATAACATTTGACTTAATGTAGTATTTTCTGTTTTTTATAAATCAAATAGGTAGGTTTTGATTTATAATTAGGGAAAAAATAATGTTCACTTTTAAAACATTCTAGCATTTTATAAAACTTGGAATAAAATAGAAATGGAATGCGCTTTGCTTTTACTTTATGTATGAGTCACCCACAAACCCACAGCCACAAAGTTGCAACTGTGGGTAACTTTTAAAATTCTGTCTTTCACCAAGTAAAGAAAAGGTTCATCAGTGGCTAGCAACATTCAAACACGCACATGTTCCTCTGTTCTCCCATCTCTCCCCTCTCTGCCCAGCCCCCTGAACACTGCCCCAGCTCTCATAAGCGTGCATTGCCAGTTTCTCAGGATGGTTCCTGCTAAAAGGCAGTGAGTGGGCCTTGGACACAGGGGCAAAGCAGAGATTCGCTACCTGTGTGATCCTTGCCACCTCATGTAACATCTTGGAACTTCAGTTCAGACCTGCTTGTGGTGAATAGAAAATGTTCAGTAAATCTTAACTTTCTTCCAATTCGCTATCTGTGGAAAGAGAAGCACCAATATATTGTCGACACATAGTCTGTCTTTTTTTTAATCAAATATATGTCTAAAACACAAGAAACTTTGAAAGGTTTATTGGTTCATATAGAAATCCTGGCCACTATGGTAATTGGTGTCCAGTGTTCCTACTTGTTCCTTTTTCATGTCTTAATTTTATCTTCTCCTTTTACAAGTCTATGCTCTTTATCAGTTTTGAACTTTCAGTTACAGAGAATATATATTGTTGATGGTATAACAACATTAAAAATATTAAGAAAAGTCATTTGACTCAACCTCAAATGCCGCTCACCTCCATTCCTACCATCAACTAAGTGTACCCATTAAAAGTATTCAATGTTAATGGCTTCATGCCTGTTTATTCCCCACCCACCCATCATTTATTATTGCCTTCAAGAGTGTACCCTGTGTTCCTGTGTTTGGCAGTTTGTTCCACAGGCCTACTGATCTTTGAAAAATCTTGAGCGAGTTAATGAACTTGCCTAATATTTTTGAAGAGAAAAAGAACACAAAGAAGCCAAATGTGCTTAATTAACTTTTGCTCAGGAAGGCAAGCATGACCGCTCTGGGAACAAGACCTCCAGGTCCAGGGTTCAAGCCTCAGGTTCTCCCCCAGTTCTTTTCAGCTGAACTGAGGAACTTGTGACCAGATTTGCATTTGAAAAACAGGAGCTCAAACATTCTCCATATAAAAAGCACTCATACTGCAAAAATTGAAATTTGGCTCAGGTTTCCATTGGTGGACTAGACTGTAGTTTTATATTATTCCAGTTGCATCTTTTTTTTAATGTTTTATTTATTGATGAGAAAGGAGAGAGACATTGATGTGTTGCTCCACTTATCCACACATTCACTGGTTGGTTTCTGTATGTGCCCCGACCGGGGGTCAAAGACACAACCTTGGTGCACTGGGGCAATGCTCCAACCAACCAAGCCACCTGGCCAGGGCTCCAGTCGCTTCTTAGTCACCATCCCTTAACCTCTCGTTTCGCATCCCCCTGATCCCAGCATACACACACCCCAACCCCACAAAACCACCCTGTCCAAATGGTTGCTTTCCCATACCATACAGTTGGATGTACTTACATGATGGTTCTTCCTGGGCTGATGGTTCTGGAGTTGACAAGTCCCTCTGCATGGACAGATTTTGTGGCTCATCGCCATGTCAGTGCCAGTCAGCTAGCATCGGGGCCTTAGATGGTGCAGGCTCCGAAGGACCCCAGAAAGCTTCACAAGAGCACTACTTCCAGAGGCGGATGAGCATGACTGGGGATTTATAACTTTCTTCCAAATGTTACTGTGATCCATTGGGGCATCGGCTACAAACATCGCCATCCCAGACTTGCACACAGGTTCTTTGCGCCAGGTGTTAAGATGCAAACTGTAAATAGTTTATGTGACAAGGCATAGCATAAATGGTACAAGAGAGCCATTTAGCAAACTCTGACTTTGTTACGTACTTAGTAGTGTTACCTCAAGCAAGGTACCTGATAGTTTAAACTTTAATTTCTTCTGTAAAATGAGGACCATTATACATGTTTGATAACATTATTGTAAGGACTAACTTAAATAATAGTATATATAAAGCACTGCTTGGCACCTCCCAAATACTCTGAATGACACATACTTAAATAGCATTTTCTTTTACTCCCAAGGAAGGCACTCAGTTCAGTGCTAGAAGCAAGTGCCATTTAAGATCTATTTATTGATCGACCCAAATCTATCTTATACTTTTTGGAGACCCTTCTATAAACATTTGGTGGTAAATGGAGTGGAGAAAAGACCATTTTACAATCAAGATAACATCAGTGCTCATGAGTTTAAGCTAATTTTGTTCTGAAATTCACTTGCGTGTATAGTTTGTTTTTTTTTAAGTCTTACACTAGAGAAAGAATGAAACTATTGTACTCAGTGTAATCTTTCTGTCTCAAGATAACACTTTAGATCTTAGGAAGAGGTAGGTTTAAATCATGGCTAAGATGAATAATCACAATAGCCCTATTGAAAGAACAGGCAGGGAAAGTGAACAACTTTCAAAGTGTGTGGATACCTACCTTTTAATTGTGCGTGCCAGCAAGGAGGGTTATTGAAATTTATAATCTAGAGAGTAATGTGTAGAATTATAGGTTTATGTAATAACACTTACATGCACACACATGCAACCCTCCTATCTGTAGCAAATGTACTTTGCCAACTATATTTACTTGGAATATAATAAAATATGTTTTCTTTCCTTGAGTCTGCATGAGTCATGGGCAGATCATGCGTGTCAGGGCAGGGAGATGGTGGCAGAATTTGAAAAATATTATAAAATTCTGTTATGCATGTGCTTTGCTTGCTTATAGACTCAACATATTAGACTTACGACTCTTGTTTCAAATAGCCACCAAGCCTAGTTTGTTCCTCAGGAATGTATATTTGTGCATTGTCTTTGTCAGAGTTTGGAAAACATTTTATCAGGAGTAGAGAAATCAAGCTTCCACTTACTCCAGTGCAGTGAAAATACTTTATAATTTGGCCATGAAATACCAGGCCTGCCAATTCACTAGTTAAATTACTTTGGTGTTTTTCTCAGGCTCAACTTTATTTATAAAACGAAAATAAAGATAGCTCCTGAAACAGACTTTTTTATTACAGAAATCAAGTGTGACTGTGTATATACACATATTTACAACACTGCATTGTGTGTATATATAAAACACTACATAGTAACTTTTAAAAGATGCTTCTACCTAAAATATAGCTACTTTGTATAATACATAGATGCTTCTTTGAATGAAAACTGTACTTGAACAATGAAAATACAATTAATTTTTTAAAATGTAAATAGCATCCTTTTCTAAAGAAAATAATAGTAGTGACTATTGTTCTCATATTACAGGCTTATGAAAAAATTGCTTACCTTCTCACTAATTTAGGTAAGTCCATTTTTCTTCACTCCTTTTATTAAGTGTTCTTAGTAAAAGAACACTTTATATAGGAGTATCAGTCTGTGGTTGCTTTATGTATATTAGTATTTGTAATATCAACTTCAGTTACATAATTGCCACTAAAAATGAAAGAAGCGGCACAGGATTTTGGACTACATCACATAGCACTGAGGCAACGTATGTAGTTATTTGTAACTGTATACGGTCTCCGAACCAGAAACCAGAAACCCTGGTTCTTCCCACATCAGAGCGCCATTTTCCCTACCTTTTCAGTTCTTTGGTCTCCCCAATATTAGTTTGCCTTTATTTCTCAGTTCGATACTACTTTTCAGATCCAATGTCACCATCTGCCTTGGCTTAATTCTTGTCTTGATACCTGGAAAGTAAATTTCTTGAGACCTCGATATCAGAAAATATATTTTCTCTATATTTTAACTCGGTTTTTGGTCCCCCAGTTTGGTGGGTCAGAGTCTTTAATACAGACCTATTTGAGCAGGAATCCTTTGTTGTTTGAGAACTCTCCGGGTGCCAGGCACTGGACTGAGCACTTCCCATTCATCATTCTGTTGTGTTGTAATCACAATTCCATGACAGTAGGATACTTATTTTATGGATGAGAAAACAAGAGAATTAGATGAGTAGAATTTAAATGCAGACATGACAGGCTCCAGTTAACTGTGGTGGAATAACTATATCGCTCCACCGCAATGTATTTCTTCTCCCATAATGTAGTTACAGGGACAAGTGATAATAGAAGAAACATTGTATGGAGGGGACCAATGGGCCCTAGTTCATGCTCTGGGGCTAAATGATATCACTTGGACATTATGTAACTATGAGCAAGTTTTCTTCTCTCCCCATTCTTTACCCTCTTCCTCCCATTCCTTTCCCTCCCTCTGCTCCTATTCCTCTTTCTGCCTCTCAGTTTCCTCACTGGGAAGATGAGAGTGGAGACAGTTCCTGTTTCATTCTGTTGTCATTGGCTGCCTGGCACATGACACGTGCTCACTAAGTGGGAAGGATGGTTGGTGGATCTGAGCTAAAGTATCTTCAGCTAGGTAATGAAGCACTTGAACTAGGTTGCCTAAAATCACATTTTTAGCTCTGATTATTCATATTCATTTTCTTTTAAAGTGCTTTATACCCAGGATCACAGCAAATCTAAAAAAAATGATCTGGGGCACCATCATTAATTGTAGAAAACAAGGGTGATTTGTGCTAAGTACCAAAGCAGCGCTCCTGTGAGGAAATGCCGGCTCTCCTGAGTGCTCTGGCTGGTGCCCGCCAACCAGGCCATCCTACAGGTGGCCCGCAGGCCCTCCTCGTCCCAGAACCTCCTGCCTTTGGGCGCAGAGCTCCCTGGGACCTACCCCCTCTTTATTCTGTGATCAGCTCCTGCCTATATCTTGGCCTACTTTTTCTTATTAAATCCTATCTAATTTTCTACCTTTTTTGACTCCTTCAATTATATCGCAATATGTTAGATTCATGTATATAGTTTTTGTCATTTCTGTGGATGCCGGTAAGAGCAGAGGGTGCTGTTCATGCTGCCATCTTCATCCAGTCTCTCTCACCACATTTTTTTGTTGTTTTCTTTTAAGAATCCTGGAATCATACCATGTGAGAGTTGTCAGGTTCTTTAAATCATATCATCTAAACCTTTCATTGTATAAATGATAAAACTTACTGCAGAAAATGTGAAGAGACCCACCCGCGATTACCAGCAGCTGGGTGTAAAGCTGAGACAAGGACTCAGCTCTTCTGCCTGATGTAGCCACTCTGTTTTCTAGCATCTCACTAAGTGTGCACAGAAAATACTCATCCTTCAAAGAACTCTGTGCACAATTTAGGTCCCTGTGTTGAGCACAGCCAGATAGGGTGAAAGGCTGATTTCATATTTGTGTTTACTTCTAAATGACGGTAACGGAGAGGATCCTGGAAATCTTTCTATGTTATTAACAGGCATCAAATTTTCCTAGCTGTGGGGATGTCTGCAGATTGTCCCATTGGACCCTTTCATCAGCCCCGTACAACGGATATTATCCTTCACATCTTACCGAGGCACACTGGGACTCAGAGACCCCGAGTGCCTCACAGACCTAGTAAATGACCGGACCAGAGCTTAAGCGTGGGGTTTCTGATTCTGTATCCTCATTTCTTGTCATTCACCTCAACTGTGTAAATGCACCCTGTGTTCCTCTAGAATACCCTCGAACAGAATCGGAATGGGAAAACAGTTTTGCCCTGAAGATGTTCCTCTTCCAGTTTGTCAATTTAAACAGTTCTATCTTCTATATCGCTTTCTTTTTGGGGAGGTAAGTCAGCTTTATACACATTATCTTTACAGAGTGAAAAAGATTGTCGACAATTTCATTTGCAGTTTGTTAACAATGGTGGCACTTTTCTTATGCCCAGCCTTGGAAAATGGAGCTAATCAATTTCCGCGTATTTTCAATCATAAGATTTCAGTATAGTACTTCCAGCAGCCACCACCAATTAAAGTTGGCATTAAAAAATAAAACCTATATGCCATACATGGGTTGAATTATGACTCTCCAATCTTCAGTAATGGTTTTGTTAAATAAGAAAATAATTTTTGCATAATCTTAGGTCACAGTTCCATGGGTGGAAACTTCCTCTACCTATCATGTTAACATTTTTTTCCTATCTTGGCTGTGAAACATGAAAACAAAGCATATTAGACCACTGCTTCTTGTATGCCATATCATGAACACCCAGCCATTGCCATGGAAACATAATGAAGCTAGACACATTTAAAATTAAATTATTTACCACATTACATTAATATTCTTTAACTAGGTCAACCAGACATTAAAACTCTACAGGTGAAAGTGGAGAAATTCATTCCATTGGTTTGCCTGTACTTCCTCAACCCATTGGTATTGAATTCACCGGTCACTTTTTCCTTTTTCTGTCCAGTACTTTGATGTGTAAGCATCACCTAAGTCAACCATTTAGAACAAGGTGTATCAGTGAACATTTACATCTCCCCACACTTGTACTTGTGATGCTTAGATGTTCTTCATTCAACCCACATAAATGCTAATGAATCAAAATGGCTTTTTGCAGATTTGTAGGCCACCCAGGAAATTACAATAAACTTTTTAACCGGTGGAGACTGGAGGAAGTAAGTAATGTAAGGGGGGTTGTGCGGATATGCATGGGTGTGGGCCAATGACTGTGGGAGAAAGGGGGTGGAGAGGGAGAGAGAAAGGTAAGTCTGGGATGTTTCAGGCGTGCTGAAATTGCTAACCTTGCTACTTAGTACTTCTTTGCCCTTAATTTAACCTCTCTGAATATCTCTCTCCTCATCTGTAAATTGACAATAGTAATACTTAGGTTGCAAAGCTGTTCATAGATAAGAAATAATAGGTATAACACAATTAGCACAACCCCAGGCCTGCGGTAGATACTCAATAAATTTTAGTTGCTACTTATTAATACTCTGTCTCCACAGATGCCCAGATATTATTCTGCTGGCCAATGACAGACTAAAGCCATTCAAAATCCCAGGTTTTTGAGAAGTCCCCAGATCAAATATGCAGTTTTTTTCATAGCTCACAAGAATGACTAGATCTGCTAGAAGGCTTTTTATCTACCCAATTCGGAGTGTCCAGCTAGAGTTAACAATGGTAGTAGGTGGAACAGAGTGGTTACAGGCAGGCAGATCTGTGTATTAGTGCCACCAATGATTTTGTACAATTGGATATCCTTATAAAATTGTTGGAAGTCATGATTCTTCTTTGAAAGTGTCAAGGAAATAATTATAATACTGGTGTCAGGAAAAATGTTTTATAACCATTCTAGACATTTTCTAAAACATGTATGACATAGATAGAGCCATATTTTTCAGCAAGGGATTATTTGTTTTTAAAAAAAGTCAGTGAAATTAAAAACGTGTGTTTGTGATAGACACTAAACATCCTATAAATGTACCTATAAAATGTATACGTAATGAAAGATAATGGATTCAGTCACACAGCAAGCATGCATTGACACATCCTCTATTTTAGGTCCTGCTGGGGAGCACAGGGTATACAATGAAGCAGCCCTTTCCTTTCTTTGACATTGTTAATGCTCGTGAAGAAAAGAATGTAACCATGATATGCAACAAATATTGTGCCTCTTCAGTCTGACAGTACACATCCTAATTTCCTCACACCCAAATGCATGATCTCACATATCTCTGAGTCTCAGTTCTTTCTTCTGTAAATTGTGACATAAATGGCTATTTCAGTACTATCGGTGATAAGCATATTACATGGGATCATGCAGGTGAAATCCATGGCACAAATAATGGTAGCCATTATAAAGACAGATAAAAAGTACTGTACTGTAATTTAGAACATTTGTGAACAGCTATGCTGGACTTTCCTCCTACTATGCTATATAATATCTCACATAGTATTTTATGTGAATCTACATAAAATGTTAATAAGAGCTCATTTTTATGAGGACTTACTGTAGGCCAGCACATTCCAGCAATCATTTCTAAGTGTTTTACATATATTCATTAATGCATCTAAGTCTCACAAAAATTTTACTCATACACTCATTTTACAGATGAGAAAACGGGGTCTTAAAGAAGTTATAGAAATTACCTCCAATGACAGAAACATACTAATAAATGGATGAAGTCATCCATTTGCTACCAGTGTGATCCGGGCAGCCTAGCTGCGGAGCCAGTGCTCTAAATACCATCTTTCTAGCTACTGCTGAGGTAGGTAGGCACAGACCCAGTCGAGAACGTAGTGGAAACTAACTTTCTTGAGAGATTGCTGAATGATTGCTGGTTCAAACAGGTAAATTGGATTTAGAATAAACATTTATAAAGTAAGGGGAGTGAAAGGAACATGGGTATTGATTGGAGTCTGATAGCCCTGTCTGCTACTTAGCTTCAGCATTGGCACAGTGGAGATGCCAACACCCATCTCATCAGGTTATTGTGAGCAGCACAGATGGACATACCCCACTTTGCATTGTCCGTGGTCGTAGGACTTTGAGTGGTGCAATGGGAATGACAGCCTGGGTCTCCTGGATGTTCCTTCATGCCCTTTTACTCATTCTAAGTATCCGATCTTTTTACCAAATGAATTTTCAATTATGGAGGACTAGATTTAGCTCAAGGGAATGATCATGTGAGGAAAGTAGACTCACACACAAAAAAAAAACGCTGTATCCCTTTCTCTGCCCTATAAATCACAAAGTCATCAGCACGTCATTTCAACAAAATTATAAATGGTCTGTCACCCAGCCTTCCAACTTTGGCCTCCTGTTGGGGGGGGTGACTCAATCCCATGGTTCTCTAATAGTCTTCGTTTTTTTTTTTCTCACATAATAATATGCTTTGATAAACCAACCCCCCAAGGCAATAAACATGTTTGGTAAATAGGATTCATCTTTAGCATTATGTACAAAAGTACTGGGTTTGGGTTCAGGAGGCCAACCCTTTTATTCCCACACCATCAGTCAACATTGCATGACCTTGGATAAGTTCATTTGCCTCTTTGACACTCTGCAAAAATGAAGAGCTTCCGCTTGCAGCTGTGATCTTTGCTCTGCTTCTGTAGTTCAGTAATTATTCTGCCTCAGACAGTCTGTTGACCTATTTATCGTGTATATGAGGCAGGGTTCAGAGGGTCCTAAATTAATCCTAGAGAGAAAGGGCACGTGTAGATGGGAAAACTGAGACTTCTCCACATGATAAAAATCACCACTGCCGATCTCTCTCTATGGCTCAGATTAGTTTTAAATTACCGGGCTGGAACTGGAAAATCAGGCTTTTCATGTCCTAATTATTTGTTCTCTTTGAAGTCCCACTGCTGCCGATTTGATACAAATAGAAACTACGGATCAAAGCCATAGAGTTGATCATCTTTGTGAGTAGGACGTGAACCCATTTCCAAAGAAACACACCCACATTTTTCTACCCAAAAGTTTTTTTATAGTGTGTTGTTTTCAAGCAAAATATATTGATTACAATTTTCATTATAATCATACTTTTGTTCGTGTGGGTTTCTAATGCTGTTTTTAAGAGGCAGAAAATTTTTTAATTTTTATTGAATTTATTGGGGTGACATCGGTTGATAAAATTATATAGGTTTCAAGTGTGCAGTTCTATAACACATCACCTGTAGGTTGTATTGTGTGTCCACCACCCCAAGTCTCCTTCCATCACACTCACCCTCTTCTACCTCCCCACGCCCTCTTTTCCCTCCGTTGTCTGTGTGTATGAGTTTTGTCTTTTGCTTAACACCTTCACCTTTTTCACCCAGAATCTCCCAGAACCCCCTCCCCTCTGACAGCTTGACAGCTGTCAGTCTGTCCTCCGTCTGTGAGTCTGCTTCAGTTTTGCCATGGCCATATCACCCTGAATGCACCCAATCCTGTGTAATGCTAACTTCAATTTAACATTGAAAAATGCAAGGATCACAGAGAAGGCAAAATTTGGATTATGCTGACAAACTATTTTGTGGCATGCTTTTATCACTTAAACATGCCTTATAGTAAATGTAGATACTTCCTCATCAGGATGTAGAGCTTTAACATCTGCCCCTATCTTGAGAGTGGGCTAGATTAGTAACTTACTTCCCAAGACAAGACTAGGGAGAAGGAACAATGAGTAACTTCACAGTAGAAACACCCAGAAAACACTACATCCACCAAGTGATGGTTAGTATCACTAGTGATGTCATGCGGACACTATGTAGCCCCTGATGGGATGTCATGAAAACCCCACTTTACTTCTGTGATCTGCCTCCATCCCCAAAACACATAACCCCAGTGTAAACAAGTAAAAACGTTAGAAAAACCCAGATTGGGGGTTGGGACAGTTGTCTAGCACACTTTAAAACTATCAAGGAAAAGGTGAAGGGATTAAGTAAAAGAATATATTACAGACAGAGACAATAGTGTGGTGGTAGCCACAGGGAGAGGGGGATGAGGGCAAGCGGAAGTGGTCAAAGGGGGCGTGGGGGTGCAAAGAGACTTTGCTTGGGGCGATGGGTACAGGATGTGGGGTGCAGATGAGGTTTTATTGAGCTGTACAATTGTAACCTGTTTGGTTTTGTGAACTAAATGTCACCCCAATTAAAAAACTTTCAAGGATGTGAAAAACTCAGAAACTGTCTAAAGCAGAGGAGACTGAGGAGACGTGAGAAATACATGCATTAGGGTATCTGGGTCAAGAAGGTATAAATGGAAAAACTGAAATCTAAATAAAGTCTAGGGTTTAGTTAATAGCGATGTACTAATATTGGCTTCTTAGCTTTGACAAATATACCTTGACAATGTTAATGGCAATGGAGGGAATTGGGTGAGAGGGGTATGTGGGAACTCTCTGTATTATCTCTGAAAATTTTCTACAAATTTAAAATTTTCTGGTATAAAAAGCTTATTTTTAAAAAAAGTATTTTATAAACATTTTGCCATAGAATTAAACACTTGTCTGTCTCCTGTTAGTAGATATGTAGTATTCCAGAACATTCATTAAAGATGATCATTCCTAACACAGAGTTTGGCAGTACTAAGTGCTAATTAAAAGTCATATTTGTAACGGGGGAAAGAAGGGGCAGCGGCAAGTCCAGGAACATGAATAGGACTCATGGGCACAAGCAATGGAGGGGATTGACTGTGGGAGTTGGGGGGATGGGGCAGGGGAGCAATAGGAAAAAGGCAGGACAACTGTAAATTAACAACAATTACAAAATAATAAATTGTAATTTAAGAAAAATAAAGGCCATGGAAAGTGTAAAAAAAGTTAGATTTGTTGATACTGCTGTTACTCTTTTGATTAAAATTCCGATGTGAATCCTGAAGACTCCCCCATCTAGTATCCTCATGCATGCCATTTCTTTCCTGTTTTTATTTCCTGTATGCATAGTGGTCACGCGACCTGGCTTTAGAATTTGCTTTACGATTTGTTCGGGCCAGCTGAGAAGAGAAAGGTCATTGCCATTGTGGTTCTGTTTCAGTGTCATCCGAGTGGCTGCCTGATAGACCTCTGCCTCCAGATGGGAGTGATCATGTTTTTGAAGCAAATATGGAACAACTTCATGGAGCTGGGATACCCGTGAGCACTCTATTGCCTTTTATGTAGTTACACAGAAGGCAGATAGAAGGAGTGTGAATATTCTTAAGAATTTGGGCTTGGCAGTCAGATGAGGGTCCAGTTCTCGCTCTGCTCCTCACTAAATGTGTGACCATGTATATGGAAATAAAATTTTTGTATACTCAGTTTTTATATTTTTGTAAGGGGATTAGCAGCTATATCCACCACAAGAACAGTTGTAAGGACTGAAAGAAAAAATAGATGTAGAGTAACCGGTACTCTGTTCAACACATTAAGATACTTGTTTTTTTTTTTTAATATTATTGATAGTACATGTTCTTGGGGATAAAAATAACTTTCTGACTTATTTTCACACTCAAGTTGCAAAAGTGTTGTTATTTACTGTAGACTCCATTTCCACTCCCCCTGGCAAAAAAGAATTAAACAAAGATAAAGTCATGGATGGAAGAGATTTGTACTCCATGTTACACACACACACAACACACAAGAACAAGATGATTGTGATAACATCAAATCAATACCACTCTTTTGTCCCTTAGATAAGTTTTAACTGTCCATGAAATCCTGACATGAAAGGATGCTGAATCCCCACTTTTACATCTATAAAAGGGTATCCTTCAAAATATAGTGAAATGCAATGTATTTTAAACACTTTGGTATGGAAGCTTTGGGGCCTAATCAAGGTTACAGACACCACCGTTTGGAGGTATTTCCTGCCTATGGGGAAGAACTGGTAAATTAATAGGTGATTTAAATAGTTTAGGATTAGTCATCAAATTTTACCATGATTCTTTCTCCCTGCTGGCCCATAAATGGCACCAGGACATTTCTCAGCAGAGACCTTGTGGATGGAGAAGGAACATTAATCCTGAAATCTGCCATTAAGTATAATGTTAAATTACAAGCAGTCTTAGTATGAAAACACCGAGACCTTGTTCAAATTCTTTCTCTACCCCTTGCTACAAGATGCCTATAATTTACTTGGCCTCACTGTGACATTGTTACTTTTATTTGTAAAGTAAGGGGTTAATAAAGATTAATTGAGATGACCATATGCTCATTCACCTTCAGTAAATGACAGCACCCTTTTGTGAAGAGATTTTTATACAGATCTTCAATATTCACACCGGATTTGCTAGAGTCTAAATATTCATTTAGAATGAAGAGGGAATAGGGGATGGAGGATTTGGGAGCCAAGTCTATTCCTCATTCCCCTTCTTATCCTTGGCCCATCTCTTTGAAACATAAGGTTGGGGGAATATTACCTTAAAATACCTGAGAAAATTAGCTATTAAGTGCCTAGCACAGAAGCTGACATGCTGTGGGCATTTCATAAGCACCATCAAGATAGTGGAGTAGTTGTATATTAGGAATAATTATTTTTTTACAATTTTCCTGGACTTATGTACACACCATGCACTTTGGACAGCACACTTTTAGCATGGCCTCACCCAGTGGTCAACCTGGTTATGCATATCAAATACCCAGGGGACCATGGCAAAGGACATCCTATGGATGTTTGTCCAACAGTTGGGCAAAAGCATTGTTGAAAATAGTCCAGCAAGGGTAGGCCAATCACTAAAGCAACAATTTTCAAACTTTGGAACCACAGTTCTTTTCCTTCCAAGTAAAATCTTAAGCAGAACTGAAATAAATGGAAAAGAAGCAAGCAAACCTGCCTCAGTTACAACTTCCATCCCCTTTTTTATCTCCATGGGACCCCAGAAGCAGCCTCCATGGGACACATGTTGATATACTGCCTGATATGTTGGTCTACCTCTGGTTCTTGTAACTCCCACCAAAGTTCTAGGTCCACAGTTCATTGAAGTTGAGAGTGGTGTACTGTTCACTGAATCCTGTGAAACTTCCCTCGTTCTAGAAATACTTTGCATCTAACTTGAAATAATTTATTGCCCACAACTCCATGATATGTATATACTGGGATATTTCTGAGTCATATAATTTCAAGACTGCCTCCAGGCTAGGGAAAGAGTGCTGTTACTTTCTTTCCAAGTCTGAGAAATGAACTCAAAAACAAGTCCATTGCCTGTAGATTATCACTCACTGTAATAATAGAAAGCAATCACTGATGATCAAACCCTTCAAATCAAGTAAAATGACTTCCTAAAACTCACACGCTTAGTGCATTGCAGGGTGGGGACTAGAAACTACGTGTCTTAAAACCCTACCTAGGTCTCACTGTTTTAATGTGGAACTGGATTATATTCATGTTCAGAAAGCATTGCCCAGAAACTTTGGGTTATGGAAATTGAAAGGTGCAGCTGCAATCTCAACAACAGGCAACAGAGGAGTTCAAGTATTTATATAGATGGGGTGTGGGAAGCAACTGTAGTAACAGATGTCTGTCTAATCAGTATCAGGAAGTGTCTAAGTGTGTGGGGGATTGATTCCTAGATAAATGTGTGGATGTTTGTAGGATCTGGGGAAGTTCTGGCAGGCTGAGGTCTTCTTTTCTCCCGTGGTAAACTTGATAGATGAGGCCATATAAATACCTTCAGTTTTCAGGAATGCTTAGTGTAGTCCCAGGGTAGTTGATGTTCATAGACTATGAATTGTTCCCCAGGTACTTAAATAAGAGCTCAAAAGCCCTTTGTCTGCTTTGTGGCGTAGGTTGATCCAGAACTGGTGGTCACGACATAAAATCAAGCGGGGAATACAAGATGCTTCTATACCTCAGTGGGAAAATGATTGGAATCTCCAGCCCATGAATATTCATGGACTGATGGATGAATATTTAGAAATGGGTAAGGAGAGATCCTTCTGCAGAAGTATTTGGCCTTTTTGTTACTATTTTTCTATTTTATGTAGTGTTTGCTTGAAGAGAAAATCATTTCTCTCCTTTCTAAGCCAAGCATTCTAAAATGCATTGACACCTTTATCTCAACAGACTAAAGGTATTAAAGCATTGTCCTTAGAAGTCTACCACATTTTGTTCTCATAATATTTGTCAGCCATAGTAAAGTAATAATTCTTCCTCACAGTAAATTGTTGTACAGACCTAGTCTGAGTTCTGGCTTCTTCAAGAAGCATACTTACTTACTTTAGGAAAATAAAGATTTACATTCCAATTGTTAAAATCACAGTGTGTTATCGTAACATTTGCTCTTTCTCTGGACTTCAGTTTTCTTATTTTTAAACTAGAGAGGACAATATTATGTCTCTGGGCTCCCTTCTAGAGCTAAGCATTTTTCAAGGCTCCCTCTTTGATTTTGTCTTCTTTTGTTCTTACTCCTCCTATATGTGGCATGGTACAGAGGCAGAAAGAACATAGACTTTCAGTCTATTGAGCTGAGTTTGAATGCAGATTTTAACATTTTTTAGCTATCTGCTCTTTAGCAAGTTTACTGAACACCTATGAGCTATAGTTTTCTCAACTCTGAAGTGGGATAAACATATTTATCTTGTAGGGGTGTTGAAAAGATTAAGAGCAATTTACATACATCACTTAATATTGCACAATAAAGGCATTCAATAAATGGTACTGTTTCTATTACTGATTTTCTAATGTTCTCCCTTTACAGTTTTGCAGTTTGGTTTTACCACCATATTTGTTGCGGCTTTTCCTCTGGCCCCTCTTTTGGCTTTGTTAAACAATATCATTGAAATCAGGCTGGATGCCTACAAATTTGTCACTCAGTGGCGGAGGCCTCTGCCAGCTCGAGCAACTGACATAGGTAAGATTCAAAAATTAAGTGCCTTTGACATTGCTAAAGCCAAGAGGTGGCCAGGTCTTATATAATACCATGCAGGTTTCTATTGCTGGAGCTCCCTTCCAGACATAACAAAACTGAGCAGTTTTTAGTTGAAATGGAGAAAGAAGGAGCAAGAGAGAGAAAGAAAAGAAATAAAAAAGAAGGAGGGAATGAAGGAAGGAAGGGAGGGAGGGAAGGAAGGGATAAGAAGAGGGTAAGAGAGATAAAGTAAAGAAAAAGGAAGGAAGGAAGGGAGGGAGGGAGGGAGGGAGAGAGAGAGAGAAAGAAAGAGAGAGAGAGAAAGAACAGGAAAACTGAGTCGAGAGTCGTTGCATACTAAAAATGCTATTTCATAAACTTGTTTGTAACAAGGGATCTCACATACATCTTTCTATGTGAATAAATATAGCTCTGCCTCATTCTTCTATTTTTAATGTAATTTTTATTGTATTTTTTCCACTACCAAGTAGTCCCATTTTACCCCTCCCCAAACAATCACCACACTGTTGTCCATGTCCATGAGTCCTTTTTCCTTCTTGCTCAATCCCTCTGCTCTCTCACCCCCTCCACCACTAATCATTATTGTTCTCTCCATCTATGAGTCTGTCCCCATTTTTCTTGTTAGTTCAGTTGGCTCATTAGATTCTATATATGAGTAAAAACATATGGTACTTGTCTTTCTCTGACTGGCTTATTTCACTTAGTATAATGTTCTTCAGCTCCATCCATACTGTCACAAAGAGTACAGTTTTCTTCTTTTTTATATCCAGTGGAATATAAATAGTATTCCATTAGGTAAACAGAGTTCTATTATATGTTGTATGACAGTTTAAAAAATCAGCCACCTGTTTAGAGATGTTCGGATTGCTTTAGCTCTTGCTATCTTAAACAACACAGAGATGAACATCTTCATGCATACTTTGTCTTATTTTCTCAAGGTGAATTGCCAGAGTGCAAGTCCTGTGTCAAAGAGAATGAACAGTTAAACTTTTGGTAATTTGTTAACACATTCTCTAGAGATACTGCACCAATGTATTCCCCCACCATAGTGAATGAATGCTCATTTCTCCATTTTCTCAACAACCCCAGCTGTAATCAGGTTTTTGTTATTCCATCCTCAATGATAAGAGGAAGAAAATGATATGTTAGATTTACTTGCATTTATTAAAACTATGAGATTAATACATTTGTATCTCTCTTTACTAATTGTGTTTATGATCTTTGGCCATTATACCTAACTTGTTGATCTTTATCTCATATTAAAAATGCTAGCCTTTGATATGAATGTGAACATTTTCAAATACTTATTTATAATTTTTATATATTATCATGCATAAGGTTTTAAAGTATATACATAGTCGAGTTGATATATCTCCCTTATAGTTGTTGTTATTTATGGCATTCTTTAAAAAGGTCCTTTAGAACTCAAGATTTTTCACCCATGGTTTTTTTTGTATTTTAGCTACATGCATTATTTGCCTTTTGTTTGTTGAAATTTTATGATTTTATTTAAAGTGTTGGTCTGTCTGAAATTTGCTATTAATAAAGGCATTAAAACTGAGATCCAGCTTTTTTAATGGATAGCCAATTTTCCTAAAATCATTAACCCATATCTTTTAAACTGGTTTGAATTATCTCTATTTTCTTACACCAAATTCTACATAAACTTATGTATATTACTAGAACCACCATTTGTACATTGATCTAACTACTTACTCTTGGCATAATGTTTTAATAAACTGAAGTTTTGTAAGAAATTCAAAACATATGGAAAAGCAAATTCTTGCATTCTTGTTTGGCTACTATTGCAAGGTTACTTTTCCAGTTGATATTAGTCTTATGTGTATTCAACAACCATAAAAGTCTGTTTACAATATATTGGTCTCTAGAGATTTAATCCCATTCAACTTGACTTCCCATTTATTGAAAAAACTAATATTCATTATGTTAATTTGCTGTTATTTAATTTGGATATGTTTATAATTCTATTATTAAAATAATGTAAGAACACTAAAGAAAATCTAAAAAATAACTCAGAGGAGAAAAACACAATTCCAATTTTAGCTTTAGTGTTTACTCCACTTTCCAATGCATAGATTACTATTTTTTTTAAGTTTTGCTAGAATGTCCTGCTCAAACCAGATGACACAAAGGTATAAAAGTAATTAATAATCTTCCCCCCTTTTATCTTTCCCTTCTACTTAAGGGATTCAGTGAAATCAATCAGACATATATTCTTTGTCAATGTTTTTCTTGCTCATACAAATACATAAAAATATTTATGAGCATATATTGGGCTCTGCTTTTTTTTCTTCATGAACATCCTCCAGCTCAAAACATAGTGGTGTGATTCATTTAAATAGAGTAATAATATTCATAATATGAATACCATAAATTTTACAGAAATTTACTTAATTTCCCAATCATAAACAGGAATAAATATACATACATATGGCTATAGATAAATACATGTAAATATAGATATAGACATTAATATTATATGTATTACACATCACATATTCATATATACAGATTGTAGTATGATCCCAATATCAGATTAACTATCACAAACTTTGTAACAAGTCATATTTTAAACAGCTACCTAAAACAGTTCCTTTTCTTCAATTCCTAAATTACAATGGATGATATAAGAATTTCAAATCTTCAACAATTCCATAAATTCTTTAAAATCTTATTTTTGAAGCACATTTCTCTGAATATTAGTGATTGAAAACTTTTTAATATATATATTACTTATTCAGATTTTATACCAAAGTGCTTATTTGGATTATTTGCTCATTTTTTTCTTGGGTGGTTTGCTCTATTAAAATTTTAGGATATTTTTTGCATACTAATAACAAATAATAACCCTTTTTCTGTTTTATATGAAGCAAATATTTTCTCCTTGGCTATTGTTTTCTTTTGACTAAATAGTGTGATTTTTGTGAAAATGAATGTTAAATTTGATATATTCAAATATTGTATTTTTTATGCATTCTGATTTCTTGGTCATACAACCTTTCCAACCAAGGAAATGTTTTCTTTTACAGCGCAATGTAGATAATCATAAAGATTTTGAAACTAAAGAAGGTGGGGGGAGTTGCAGGGGAAAGTTGCCAATCTATACAGTCATCCTTAGCACTTCGAGTATTTTTTCTAGAGCTTTCTTATTTTTATATCCATATTTTTAAAGCTAAGTTTAGTCCTATTTAAGACATAGTTTTGACCACAGTCAATGGCATACTGATACTATATGCAATTTCTAAAGCTTTATTTGTGTGTGTCTCTTTGATGCCAGGTTGCCCTCTTAAGAAGCAGAAATGTCAACTAGTAATTTGCAGGTCTTAATATCAAGCTAGGTTTACTTTCTTGTATTTTTGCCTTAAAAAGTACTTGGCATAGTGAGTACATATATGTCAGACTTTACCCAATGATGTAGAACTAACTAGATCATTTTTGCTTGTTATTTTTATTACTTTAGCAAGTTGCAATTAGGCTTTGAAGCAGCTGTTCCAAGTCTCATTATTACAGACATAAACCAATTCCTAGTGGTATTTTAATTTTCAAAACTTTCAAGACAGAGGTCTACCTTTCCCCTGTGAAAAAGCATTCAATATCTGTTTTGTCTGTAGTGAGATACTGTACCAAGAAATTAAATAATAGAACTGTGATTCCAATGTAACTATAACATTCTTTTCAAAATAAGATTGAGGAGAGAGTTTTATTTTTCTATTTTATTCACTATCTTTCATCTTTATTCCACTAGGTATATGGTATGGAATTCTTGAAGGAATCGGCATATTGGCTGTGATCACCAACGCATTTGTCATTGCTATTACATCTGATTACATCCCCCGTTTTGTCTATGAATACAAATATGGCCCTTGTGCAAGACATTTCGACTATGGTGAAAAGTAAGGTTGAAATGCACACATTTTTCTGACATGTTTTATGTTTGTTGTTGAAACGAGAATCTATTGGGAAGTTTTGTTCTGTGACAATTAAAGGCTTTGTTTCCGACCATTGCATTTATAATGTGTGTATTGAAGAAATCAAACAGGATAAAAAGGAAAATGGTGCTTTACAGTAAACAGCTTAAGAGTCTCTCCATGTTTTCACTTATAAATGTATCGGTGACATCAAAATATTTTTTAAAATGTTATAACGTATTTAGAAGTCACATTTAGAACTGGAAAAGACCTCAGAAATCATCCAGTGCAATCTTTTGACTATGCAGGTGGGGAAATTGGGGCCCACACTGGGTAATGAAATTCCTGAAGCAAATAAAGCTAGTTGGTGGGGACATACAGAATAGGAAGGACTTGTCAGCTCTATGACGAGAGATTTTTCTAAAGGAATTTACAGCGAGCTGGTCTGTGCATTATAGGATGTTTAGCAGCAACTTTGGCCCTAGCCCAGTACATTCCAATAACAACCTCTCTACTCCCCAAAAATGTTTCCAGACATTGCCAGATGTCCCCTGAGGGACAAAATCACCCAGCTTAGAACCATAGCTTCAGGGACTATGAGATATTTCAGATTTTTTCTTTTCGAATGCTGGTATTAGGGAAGAATGCAAGAGAGACTGGAGTTGAGGAACAGAGAGAAATTGGAGTTTCGGTTAGAGATTAGCCTTTGATGTAGACATCGTACTAGAAGATAAAGCAGTGATAAGAGAAACTGTTTCTCCTTCTTCCTTCAGGAGTAGTTTTGGGCATGTGTCTTATCTACAGGCAGGACATGTGCCCCAACAGGCCGAGCCCTGGTTTAGGATGAAACCAGTCCTTAGGTCTGCTGGTGAACTGATGTTTTCTTAGAACACTGAGATGCCTTTCTGAACATAAATGTTTCAGTTTTTCAGAGAGAGGTAATAAAGGCATGAAATTTTAAAAAAATTATAGAGTCTTTTCAAGGGATTTTTAACTTGAAGTCAAACACTCTAGATTTAAATTCTAACTACCGTTTACTCAAAGAAACATCATCAATCTGGACCCATGATTAAGAAATGATGTCTGAAGTAACATTTTATGTACTGTGAAACACTATATAAAGTGCTCTTATTATTAATAGTAAAAAATCAAAAAATCCTTTTTTCTTAATTCATAATGATCTAGAAACAGATTTCAAGGATTTAAAACATGTAGACATGTTTACAGCCCACTTCCTTAGAAGCTGGTGTCTTTACTGCCACCTAGAGGCAGAAGAAAATTAAATCGGTTGGGTACTTTCAGGACCTACCTTTCAGGTGGAGATGGCACCTGACCCTTTCTCCAAATTGAATGACTAGGGATGTAGAATAATTTCAAGAGGTGCGAAGGGCTTATGTGAAGTTGAAAGCACACATACATGGGATCAACTTCCAATTTCTTTTTTTTCCAAGGAATGCTTAGCAGCTAAATTGGAGTAGAGGCATTCAGATGGCAAATTTTCAAGGGCAGGTGACAAAAGGGTAAAAGAGCAATGAAAAGGAGGGTGCTGGCCAGAGAACAGTGGAAATTATGAACTATGAGGTCTGGGACAGGGAAGGGAGTGAAGCCAGTGTGGCCGTGTAATGAAGGATTAAGGGTTTAAAATGAGATAGATGTGCACTTGAACCCAGGTACTATCAACTGTTTACCCTGGGGCAGTGGTTCTCAGTGTTTGTTCTGCAGGTGTCTTTCAGGGTCCATGAGGCCAATACCACTTTAATAAGAATACAAACATACAGCTTCTTTGTTCACCACACTATCATTTGCACTGATGGTGAAAAAGCTGTGGGGGTAAATTTTTCTGGTGACTTTGCTTAATCCAAGGCCATGATACCAAAGAGAACTGGGACTGATAGTATTCCTCATCACTGTACAATTGCCATTTTAAAAGTGCTAGTAAGACATTTCAGAATGTCCTTGATGAAACAGTAATACTTATTAATTTCACCAAGTCTCTACTCTTGAATACATGCCTTTTCGATACTCTGTGTGACAAAATGCATAGTGTGCATAAAGCATTTCTGTAATGTGTTGAAGTGTGATGTTTGTCTCAAAGAAAAGCACCGTGTGCTTTTTGGAGCTGCAAACCCACCAAACTGTTTTCTCATGGAATTAGGGTGGCCAGCCTATGGTTATTCAGACTTGGGTATTTAGCAGACACACTTTTCTAAAATGCACATAACTATCTTATCATTTTACGGAAATAATGGGCAGTATTTGTTACTATGAATAAAGTTTAAGATTTGAAGTGAGAATTAGAATTTTAAAAAAATTTTTAGGTACCACTGTGAGCTTCAAAGCTTTCCAGAACTTACAGATTTTTTTCTAGTAACAATCAATGGAAATATTAATGTTAGTGATGTTTCATAGCTTGTAGTGAAGATATATCAACATTTGGAAGATCTGTATAATTGAGAGAACCTGTATTTTTCAAATAACCCATATTTGATGTTACAAAATCATTTACGGATGAAAAAATAAATCAAAAGTTCAAGGTAGAACTATGGATTTTTACATAATTACATAAGAAAACTTTACTGATATGTTTAGATTCCACTTGCAACTAAACTGTAAGAAATGATCAGATGAAGAACTTTGGTGGAATAGCAAAGAAAAATGTCAACAACTATCTGAAATATTATTAAAATAATCCTCCTTTTTCCAACCATTTATATTTTTGAGGACAGATTCTGTACTTAACTCTGTAAGCCAAATAACATATTGCAACAGATTTAATGAAAATTTAATGAGATATGGGAATCTAGTTGTCTTCTAAATATTAAGATGAGCGTCAAAGGAATTTGCAAACATGTAAAACAATGTCACTTTACACTTTTTCTTTGGGAAAATATAGCTATTTTTAAATGTGTCATTTCAATTAATTTGTAATAGATTTGGTAGTTACTTTAAAATTAATTATTAGAGAAATGTTTGATAAATTTCTGTTTTAATTTATAATGTGTTAAATATCAGTAGACATACCCCTAAAAAAAGGTCTTTGAGACTTTATGTTTAAAAATATAAGGGGTGCCTAAAATAAAAAATTTTAAGAATTATAGGCCTAGAGAGAGTTACTTAGTCTCTGTAAAATTTAGTTCTTTAATTTACATGGTGGAGATTAAAACAGTTATTGTAAAAAACCTGATCACAACTTAATATATAACCACCAAGGTAGGGATTTTTGCATGTGTTGTTCACTGTTAAATACCAAGATTCTAAATTTTTTCCAACAAAGGGAGGTTTTCAATAAATATATATTGAGTAATTAATAGATATATCACAAATAAATGTGTTCATTGACTGGTTGCTTAATTATAATTAAGCAAATAATACTATGCATGTATATAAAACATTTATAGAGGTTTAATCCATAGGAAGTAATTACCAATACCTAGTGCATAATAAACACTTAAAAACATAAACCAAATGAATGTTTGAGATGGAAACTATTGGGGAAAAATGGCAGACAAGAGTCTGACTCATTAAATACAGGTGTAATGGGAGTTAGGGAATAGAATCAGAGTGCTGGGATGCTAGGAGTTTATAATTAGAATGAAAGGAATGGTGATACTTACCAAATCTTGCCATCTGTAATAAAGAAGTTGGACTTGAAATTTATGAATCTCTGAATTACATGACACTTTTCTTTTCTTCCAGTTGTTTAAAAGGATATGTCAACAATAGCCTCTCCTTCTTTGACCTAAGTGAGCTTGGTATGGGAAAATCGGGGTATTGCAGGTACTGACTTACAAATCATAGCTATCTTTTCTTCTTGCCTTCATCATTCCATCTTCTCCCTCTCCATAATAATAACAAGCCCATTTAAACTGTCATTTTGGAGTTATGGCAAATCAAGCATATTTGGGGCCTCCACACTTTGATCCCTGTTCTTCAAAACTTTGTTTGTTTTTTTTTGTGGGTTTTAGATACCGAGACTACAGAAGTCCCCCTTGGAGTTCCAAACCCTATGAGTTCACCTTACAATACTGGCATATCCTCGCTGCTCGGCTGGCCTTCATTATCGTGTTTGAGGTTAGTCACAGACTGATAAAGTAACTATAGGTAAATGCTTTTCCAGCAGATATATTAGTTGCCTCTTTGAAGTAAGCTCATCACTGACTTTCAAAACAGAACTTGACTATGTCCCAGTCAAAGGTTCAGATACAATGAAATCACTCTAACGAGTGAAAAACAGCAATAGCTGAAAAATGTAAGAAAGTAGGTCAGTGGGTATTTGTACCAGGAAAAGTAGGATAAGAACCTACTTATGGCTGAACTGAAAGCTTAGTTTTGAGCCTCTTAATAACCAAATTTTAAAAGAAAAGGTTGTTTTTTTATCATCTGATAAAATAATTCATATCTATTCATCGGGATGGAGAAACTTATTTCCTGAATAATCAACTCTAATTACAGTTGATCTTCTGTATTAATATAAGGGACACTGCATAATTTAGTCAATTATGCCTGAGAACAGTTATAAAAATTGCATAAATTTAGATGATCAGGTCATGCAATAATATTACATTGTAGCCCAATGAAGAAATCTTGGAGAAGCTACAGAATTACTGCCTTGCTTAGCATAAACCAACAAACTTGATATACTGACGAGCTTAGCACTGCAATATATTATCTATTCTCTATGTACCACTAAGGTCTAAGGACCAACTTGGAAGGCACCTGTTTCGTATGACCGAAATTACAGAAAGAGATAGTGAGGAAAGAAACTCCTAACCTGCTTTTCTATGGGAAACTTGACCTTCTCACTATGACCCACTATACAGTGCAGTCTCCTGGGACACACATAGCAAGCTCATTTAAAAGTGCCTTGAATTCTTTCTTCCCACATAGAGACTATTGTCACAAAGTCCTTTAGGCGAATGGGTTCTTTTCCATAGATCATAGTAACTCTATCAGTATCAGATTTTTTTCTTTATGAGTAACTGAAAGATCTACACTTCTTTATGGGAAAAGACAAAGGATGCATTTATAATAATGGGAAGTAATATTTAAGTAATGCTTATACTCATTTAATCCTCATACCAACCTTTAAGAGATACTACTGTTATTATCATTATTTTAGAGGTGATACAAGAGAATGTGGGTGATTTACACAAGGTTACACATCTGTGTTAAGTGTCAGAGTAAGTTCAGACGTAGGCAGTCTCATTTAGCATCTGCACTTTTAACCACAGGCCTGTTGCCTTTTGATTTTTGTCCCTATTTTTATATATAATACTTTTGTCAGTCTATTGTTTAAAATATTTTATCATAGAATAATTATGGAACAAATATAAAAATTTTAAAATAGTTGTGGTGATAAAGGACTTAGTAGAGTAGAAGTTTTGAAAGATTCAAGTGCTGGACGTTGAGTCTATTCCCAGCATCACAGGCAGACAACATTCTCTCTAGTTTGTTGGCTGCGTATCACCATCCACCCATGGTTTTTCCCTAGATACATGGGTTTTCCCTGAATGTGATCTTTCTCATCTGTGTATGACAATTCTTCATTTCTTCCTAATACCTGTGTGATATGGGGCAACAGTAGTATTCCTAACATAATCTCTGAAAATATTAATATTCTAGATCATATACACTGAGTTGTGATGATTGATTGTAAGGCAAATGCCACGTTGTTCATGGTTGTTCTGTTCTGTAATTGGCATTTCTGAATCTTTGAAAAGCATGCTTTTTCTTTTTAAATCTGCAGCACCTTGTTTTTGGGATCAAGTCATTCATCGCATACCTGATTCCGGATGTACCAAAAAAACTGTATGACCGAATACGACGGGAGAAGTACTTAGTCCAAGAAATGATGTACGAGGCTGAGCTAGAGCATTTGCAACAACAGCGGAGAAAAAGCGGTCATCCTGTTCACCACGAATGGCCTTAGTAGATAGAGGGGTGATAGCAACTTCAAAGTCCAGGTGGGATCTAGGGGGAAGTCATTCCTGGAAAACCCTGTGTACAATACTCTACTTGGAAATGCATCACAGCCATTTCTTGGATATAGAATATCCAAGCTTCTAGGGAGATAAAAGATGACTCATGGCATTAAAAAATAGTTAGGTTGACATTGCAGGAAACTAGGATATAACCCACAGAGAGCTGTATGTTTGAAGGCCTCCGCTTTCCATCAGCTGTAGCATAGTAAGAAGGGTGATGGTGAGGTTTCTAGAGACAGAGGTCCATGCAAAATTACATAAGCCAGGCATGGCTTCAAGTATAATGTGGTTTTTACTCACATTCTAATCTGACTTTGGAACCTTAGGTTGAGTTAAAATACTCATCAGAAATAACTTAAATGAGGGATCGCCTTTGCTGCCAGAAATTCATGTCCCTTCAGCTTACTGGTTCATAAGAATCCCCCTTGTTTCTTGCTGAGATTATGGACCTGTGCCACAGGGACTTTATGCTGCTCTACACTGACTATGCAGTTGAAGAGTTGCACGTCAGCTTTAGTTGTCAAACCAAAAATCTGAGATTCTGAAAAGAATACCATCCACTGAAATGAATGACAGTCTATTGCATTCTATTCAAATCTGTTGTATCAGTCACAGAGCCAGTTGCACTGGATTTTTTTTGTTTTTTACTAAATGCCAATAGAGCCACCTGCTTATGAAGTATGGGTGTTTGTACTCATATCATGTAGAACACTACTAACTACTAATTCATGTTTTGCCATGGAAGTCTGTTTATAATATATTTAATTTTCCCCTTGCTGATTTATTACATCAGCTCACGCAGAATGATTTGAAATGCTGTAAATATTTTGGTGTTCCTTGTACCTTTGCACCGTGATGATTGTAATGCAAGTTACAGTTTACGCAGCTCTGAGACCACTTCCGCCGTACACTGTTGTGACTTGTTTTTTCAGGAACACAGAAGCCAGATGCTTTTCAACTCTTTTGCTTTTCCAGCAATGTGCACTCCTGCTCATGAGTGAATGAAAGCAATGCATGAATATAAATTTCTATGACTTGTAATATTGACACATATATTTTTGAATTTTACTTTTCTTTCATTACTGAGGGGAGTTTTCTGTTATTTCTTTGACAGCTTGATTTGAGTTATTTTTTGAAAACTCTCTAGAAACACAGGCAAATTAAGTGTGAAAGATTTGCTTTTTTGTGGCGTTGCTATTTTGGTGTCAACTCTGTACCTTTGAGTGTGACTATTCACAGATGGGCAAAGTGGGAAGGATGGGACATTGAACTACAGAATATCTGGTGAAGGCATAAGCTATGGGGGCAGCAAAAGAAGAAAGAGAAGAGTTGAACTAAGGAAATGTATGATAGAAATCAAGAACCTTGTCCTAGTAAAACAGTCAATGCTAATCTGTTTTCCCCTGAGAATGAGGTGAGAAATAACTTACCCATTTACACATAGATGCAATTATTGCGATTATTATTTGTCCAATTAAACAAGGCAGCTATTTCTAAAATTCATAAAGAGCGAATTAAACCCAATGGTAATAAAGCTACTTTGTGTATCTGCTAGCTTTTCTCTAGTGAGAATATTATCCAGTTTCTCTTACTAGAAAATTATTTGTATTAGTCTAACACTAACTTTTTTTTAAACTTTTCCTTCTATGGAAAAGTTATAGTCATTGGTTGGCTGTTTGGTTTTGGCACAAATATTCACTTCTTATCTTCTGATTCTGAGCAAGAAGAAGGACTTCATCTTCTAAACATCCATCACATGACCTTGCCACATGGGACTCTTCCATCAAATTCCACAGAAGTTCTGTTTCTGCTGCCTGGGTATCAGAGCAACCTACTTTACTAACTCTATAATGAAGTTGCAAACCCCTCCATTTTCCTAGCATTCGCATGCCCTCTTCATTTGTGTATACACACCTGAGAATACATACTCTCCCTGCCTGTTGAGGATGTAAATGTCAGGTGTATAACCCGTCAATTATATCTTCTCCAAGTAGGGGACACAGGAGCAAAGAATCATGACAGTACGCCCTTGAGAATTCTTCTCTTTCTGAATTATTTTTTATACAACCACCATCGAGGTTTAAAATTATATGGATTGCCTAGAGCAAAAAATGTGAAAATTTAAAAAAAAAACTATTTTAAGTAACAAAGTATTAATACATCGATTTAGAAAAATGCCTTCTCTGATATTTTTGAAAATGATGGAAAATGGGAGAAACAATGAAAAAGCATCTGAAATTTTCATCTTGGGAAACAAGGCAGTAGAATTTAGCTATGCCTTCATCATGGTTAACAAGAAAATATTGACAGCCCTTCGCAGTATGTTAGGTTTAGATCACTCTGCTTTAGTGGAAATGCTTTATATCATGGTTTTCAAATGAACACAAATTCTTTCTCAAAGATTTATATAGCACACACTCTTCTCAGGAATTCTGTATTACATGAATGTTGCTTATCTATTTTCATATTCTAAATTGTTGTCTTCTCAAGCACATTAATATATGCGTGCATGTAGTCAACCTTGACAAGTCGTTCAAAGATGAAGTGATTTCACAGTATATAGTGTGTGGAAAATTGCCTGAGACTGTAACAGAAATAGTTTGTAATCGTCTGAGTCTGCGCATGCACTTTTAGATAAAATACTGCCAAGTGACTGCATGAGGTACAACTTCCAATGCTGCACATTCTTCCAGAACAACTCTTAGCACAATCTGTGGTAGAATTGGAATGAAAAGGAACTTTTTCACTCAATAAATTATCATGTGATCTATTTTCCTATAATTTGCATGTTCAATTTACTCCTGCCTGATTTTTAAATATTACATTGGGATTTGTTGAATGTGTATGGTGAGAGGGCATTCCTCGTCCTCAAGCTCCACATGGTAACAGTTCCTGGCTCTTACAAGTCCTTGATCACATGCTTTAAAGGTTTTGACTATTTGTCTTCTGATAAGTTCATTATCGCCATCAAGGCATTTGCAAATGCAAGTGCAGTGGAGTATCATATTGATCCTAATAATGCTTTGCACTAGAAACAGATGAGAGAGGAAGCTTGCTTAGTTCTGATGAGGGTAATAATGCTTCTTTTTCACACTTGGGCTGGCTCTACTAATTACCATCCAAATCTCTTTAGTACAGGAATTTTAGCACAGATATAGTTCATGCGGAGGAAGGAGGACATGTAAGGGCACCAGAGCCAACTGTCAACAACAGGCTACCAAGTTGGCCATTTGTTTAATCAACTTGATGGTTAAAATTGAAAATCCAAGTTGCCTGATGAGTTATTTAATGGATATGGCTGAATTGATTAATATATCGATTTGTGGCAGGTAGACATAGGCCCAGGATGTTGAGTGTGTGTGTACGTGTGTATGTGCTCACACACATCGCTAGGCACATCTTTTGGTCTGTGAAACCAGTGAGCACTTACTCTCTGAGCTATGCCCAAGTCAAGCCTACTCTGATCATCAGGTATCTCTACTCCATTTTCTCCCGATGACAGTGTTATAAAGGCTTTGGAAATAGCTGAGGTTACATCCAGGAAACTAGTTAACATCTTACCTTATTTTTGGTATTCTCAGTGACTCAGAAAATAACCTTTGGGATGGCCTGAAAACCCAGCTTCTGATGGAAGGGTGAGCATTTCTATTCAAAATGAAATACGCCAACAATATTCAGTCCCAAGAAAAGATTGTGCTAGCTAGGGTTTATGTATTTGCACTGGTGATGAGTTATTATAGATCAAATTTGCCATCTGGGTTCATCTAAAAAACCACCTCCATGACTACATTTGATGATTTTCTTTCTAGAGAACATACACATTTTCTTTCTAGATGTGCACAATATTTGGGACCAGATCCAATCTCTCATACCATCAAAATCTACTCTCTGGAAAAAGCAGCTTATCCGTCAAACCTTGCTGCTTTGTGACTGCACCCCTGTGTGTACCCCAGCACAATTCTCCCTCCAGAAAGCCTCCTGTTGCATGTACAGCTGGTCCAAAGTGGGAGTCTTGAGGACCCTAGATAGTGAGCTCTGTGAATACCGCTCTACATCTTTCCCTAGGAAGGAACGGTGGGACATTTTTAGCAAACACCTATATCGACTTCTTCAGGATATGTGTTTCCATCACAATGGTCATTCTTTCTGCAAGAAAAGTAGTGTCTCTGCCCCCCGCTTTTTTAAACAAAGCTTTCCTAAATTACTAGTTGGAAAATAAAACTTAGTGAGACCCATTTAGATAATGCCACAAAAGTAGTTGTCATGGTGATGACCAATGTGTGGTACTCCAGCTGCCTCAAAACCTTTATAATTAGTCAGTGAGCATGCCACTCACTGCCAGGTGAGCACTTTAGGGCAAATTTTGTATCTTTTCTAACAAGTAGGATGAGGAGAGTCTTCCCACTAACTTTGACACAGCGTACTTGTTCATGATTTTTTTTCTGGAAGGAGACGGATTAGATGGTCCAAAAAATCTGGTGGCAAAGATCAGTGTACAAGCAAAGTTTTGGGGATGGTGGAGGGGACATAGAGACTTTTCTACTGAAAAAATAATGTATCTGATTTGCAGATTCTATTTCAGTATCTGCTGCACACATACCATGTCTCCTTTATGACTGAAAAACAACTGCAATTTAGTTCATCTTTTAACATTCAAAGGAAATAAAGTTTTTTATTCATTATCTATTATAAGGTTTATGAAGCTAAACATAGTAGCTTAGAGTTTAGTAAAATCTCCAACTAAAAAATAAATGTGCCAATTTTTAATGTCAAAGATGAAAATGCTCTTAAAAACATAAACAATAGCCCTGGCTGGTGCCAGCCTGTGAATCGAAGGGTAGCCAGTTCGATTCCCAGTCAGGGCACATGACTAGGTTGTGGGCCAGGTCCCCAGTGGGGGATGCATGAGAGGTACCCCCTATATAAATATCTATATTTATGTATCTATATAAATATACATATAGATATATAGATACAGATATCTATCATTGTTCATCGGTAAACATTCCTATCAAACTCTCATAAGAAATTTGCAAGCCAACTTAAGGGAGATTTGCTCTTGAAATAAACTGAATCAGTTTTAAGCTGGTGTCTTCAGATCAGCATTCTTGAAAATGGTAGAAAATAAAGGTACCTGTAAACCTTAGCAATGTGGTTCCACATCAGCCAGTACCATCACCTGAGCTCAGTTCTCCACGCATTCTGCCTGACTGTATTTCACCGTTGTAAAAAGCAGTTTAGGACTGGCTCATGTATTTTCTTACATGGCAATTACTTACATTAGGACATTAAATCAATATACTATGTGCAATTATTCTTAGCTTTTTAATGTGTTCAAGCAGATTTTGAAATTAGAAATTAACTGAACACCCTGAACAGTTGTGTATACATTTGCTTTAACATTAAACAACAACCACAACAACAAAATAGATATGTTGCCGTTTGTGGAAATTCCCGAGGACACAAAGATCAAGGTAACCTATTAAGTCATGAGGTAACTTCTGTGTTTGTGCTTGTGTGTGTGTGCAAACACATGCCCTGAGCCTTGGGTAGCACCAATATTACAGCCACTATTCAACACACTGAAGAGGAAATCATTATACAATATGTCTGGCCTGATTGTGACATGTTAACTTGGGTACTGGGTGGACCTGCTTTAGTCTATTAGTTACTGTAAAATATTTTAGGGTAGATAACTATTTTGCATCTTACTCCTATCCCTGTGGAGAATGTTCACATTGATCATTTGAATGCACTTCAACCTGACTTACTTTAAAAAATAATGAAAATAATTATCTAGCTTAATGATACAGCTATGCTCATTCTGCAGGTTTTTTCCTCTAAAATTAACTCACTCTGTAAATACAGTACTTAATTTACAAGTACCCCAGGGCTCTATAAAAAGGTCCATAACATTTGGCAATATAAAATATCTTAAATTTCTTATCGATATGCAGAACTATTACCAATTACCATTGGCTGCCATAGGCCAGGACAGTTTGTCATAGGGTCTAATTAGAGAGCCGCTGATTCACCGACACCCCAGGTAAGGACCCCATTGTGATTAAGTAGCCCAGTGTTTATAAGTTTAGCTATACATGCCTTCTGAAAATGGCTGATGTTTCAAATACAAAAAGTAAAATATTAGAAAAGTGGGCTTATGTTTGTTGTTCACACAGGTGTTTGCAAATCTAGATTGATTTGGTCATGACATCAGAAGAGAGGAGGAAATAATAGCTTGACTTTTTTTGAAGAATTAGAAATAATAAAACCCATTAAATGTTTTACTATCAATTATAAGTTGCACTTGATTAACTTAAAAATTTCTATCCTTTTACTATATGCTATTGGTGATTTGATTACAAATTAAGATGGTGGAAAATAGATTCTACTTCAAGGATACAAATGCTGGATAAAAGGTTAACTTTATAGTGAACCTAAATACCTTGCAATATAGAAATTGAGCACAGAGGTTTCTGAATATACGAATGTATATATGGAAAGCTAAAAATTCTGCAGTGTTTTAAAAGGATTGATTTCTAAAAGAACAATTAAAGGGAGACTCCTCTATCCTTTCTATTTAGCAATCAGATCTTGGAAATACTGTTTGATTAAGATTTTAATATCACAAAAATATTTCAGTAATACCCTCTTGGAAATACTGTTTTCAAGCCCTTTGATCTGTGGTTTATTTTTCCCCTTTATAATAAAATGGTCTAACCCCATAAAGTTTCAAAATAATAAAATTTTTATTCAAGATTCAAGAAGTACTATTTAAATAGAGAGAAAAGCCATTCGCCCTTCCATTGCTATTTAGAGGATCACAGCTGCTTTTCACTGTGCACTGAGTCTTAAATTTGGATTAAAATGCTATCTACTTACCAAGGTTTACAGTTATAAACACAATTCTCAACCAAAGATATGAATATTGCATTTCTCAGTAACAAACTTGTCTATCTTTATTATAGTATTATTTTTCAAGAATTTATGACTCTCCAGAAAAACATATTTTATTTAAACTTGGCATTAACAAGGCTACTAATTAGAAATGTATGGCATTACTTTAATTTATACCTTATGTTTATCTTGTTATTTCTAATTCTCAGACTACTTCAGTAATACTTGTACTATTCCAGTATCTTAAAAATCCTAGAGAAACAGTGAACAAACTTAACTTGAAATGAATACATTAATGAGTACCATTTCCTTCCTTTTCTTCATATAATACAGATTAACAAGTATCGAATGCCCCATGCAGACCAGTCACGGCATTAGCTACGCTACACGATTTACCTCATACATCCTCACAACAGCCCTATTAAGTGGAAACAATTTTCGCTCCTTTCATTTTGTAGATAAACTAAGTTTTAAAAGCCTCTCCCAAACTTACTGAAATAAGTGTATAAGAACTACGTCTGAAGCGAAGCTGTTTGACCATATTCCTTATTTCAATCAATGAGCTGTATTCTTCAAATGGTAACAAAGACACCAGTCATCAAAACAGATTCATTCAAGGAGCAGGATTTAGAGGAGCTAGTATAAAGGACACATGGACAACAGCTAAGGAGGGTGGAAATGGGAGGGAGGTGGGGAGCACGGTGGGGGGGGGTGGGGAGGGAGTAAAAGGCAGAAAACGGTACTTGAAAAATAACTAAATAAAAAAACAGATTCATTTATAACAAGCAGAACAGGCATCAAGGTTATTCCATTTCATTTTTTACCAATATTTGTTGTGTTTTAAACAGAGACTACCATCAAGTTTGATACCTTTTAGGCTGTCCTAGAACTCATCATTCATAGCCCCATTGATGGAGAATATCCCTAGTCATTCTGTGGCAAAAATAAAAATAAAAAAGCCACAAATTTAACCCATTTCCATGGCTTGCATTGAACTTGGCACTGGAGAGATCTTGTACTGCACCAGTGGCCTTTACGCAGCTCGGAGCTGAAGTTCCCCAGAGTGAGGGTAGGAGAGGCCTGCTGTGACTAATCTCTTGACTCCAAACTCCCTTGTTCTTTTTTGCTTTGCTACTCAACGAAAGTGGATTCTACGTGGAAGATGATCCTCCTGTGGATTCCTATCTCTTTCTACCTGAAGCCTTAAAGCTTTGCATGTTTATTCAATTAGAAAGTATTTGTGAGGTTTACATAATAATATGAAATTACTACCTTCCATTTGTAAGTCACCTTATTCTTTCGTAACATTCCAGGTAAGAAAATTGTGGCTGAATAAAAGGATATTAAAAATATTTCTGGTTAAATATTAACATAGTACATTCAAGTACTGACCTAAAAGGGACAAAAATACCTCTAGGATAATTTGTGAGCAAGAGATGTGAGAAAACTTGCGAGTGAAATGAAACGCCATATGGTACATTTTGTTTTTGTGCAATTTCAAGTGAAAGTTCAAAATCTTGAAATATGTTCCAAATATATATGCCAGTGAGGTTTTGCCCAGATTTCAACATCCACCTAATTTTTTTAAGTTACAATGTATAGGAATGTCCTAGCTACTAAAATGTTTCTAGAAATTTTGTTCCTGCTCAATTTCAATTATTTTCCAAACACACCTCCTTTTTTCTTCCTTCAGCCTTTTTCAAAAATATTTTTCCTCATCTCTTTTATAACCCTTTTCCCAATTCTTTCTTTCTCTCTTCCTATTGTCTTCTCCTATTTGAGAAAAGAAAAGCACTGAGCTGTGGCTTATAAATGCCAGTTATTTTTTCATCCATCTGTGGGTTTCCCCCCTCTTTCTGTCTCTTCCCCCTAATAATAGAATCTGGTTACATAATATTCCCTATCTCATGTTTCTTTTAAGGTTGCTTCCTCCTGGCTAACATTTAGACAGCACAGCTTTTGGAAGTCCCTATCCTTGACTATTTGGACCATTTCTTCTTACTTTGCTGACATTGTTTCTAGGCCTCTTGATCTTACCTGGCCAGCAAGATAAATATCTGACAATACCACAATATATCTTCTTTCCTCTGATCTAACCTCAGTGTCACTGGTTCTTTCCCTTACCTTTTAAGAATTTTCATTTTGCTTCTTCCAGACAATCTTCACTAAGTCTCCATTTGTTAACTCATCTTTTGATTTTTGTAGTCTTTCTTACTCCAGGACTTTAAAACTTATCTACTAGAGTTCAGCTAAGAAGATATTCTGCTACATTAGCACATTGAGCTTGCATGCTAGAGCTGAATGAGCAGAATGTAAGTCCTGTGGACAAGGTGTTGTGCATTAAAAAACACCTGCCTGGTGAAATTTCCTGTGGGCTGGTGGGCTATTTGCAAGGCTCTTTTACCCAATGCTGTCTTAACAGCCTCCTGTAGGAGGCTTTTATCCACCTCCAGAGAAAAACTGCACACCTCTTGTTGAGCACAGAAGCAATTTTTCATTGTAAGGTGATGAAACAGGAAAAGAAATACAACACTGAATGCCCAAAGTGGGGAAAGTATTTAGTTATAATTGTTTTCACTAACCAGAATTCCACTCTCTTCCTGTACTCAGCACAATTATTGTTAGGGCTTGGTGAGGACGGCGGAAGTAGCAGGAATGACTGGAAGAAGACATAAAGATGTATGTGTGTGGCAAGGGTATTAATAGCAGCTGTGTGTTCCACCTGAAGCTGTGGGATGGGGAGAATGTAGAACGTGTCTACATTTATGGGAGGTGTGGGGGTGGGGTAAATCCATCCCCTTGTTTAATCAGCAGAGACAGAGAAGCATTTAATATGTCTATCCTCGTCTTCATCAGCCTCCAAACTCCAAAATACCTGATGGTTAAAAAACTGCCTCCCCAAAAGAAGTTTAATATGACCAAAAAAGCAAAGAGAATAATTCCTTGTACTATGATGAAATCCAGTCTTCATTTATTCAAGAAGGAAGTCACCAGGGCACATAAGGGTTGACTGTCCTCACTTGAAAGTTTGGATCTTCCGAAGAATATCCTGGAGAACATCCATTTTATTTGTAGATATAAATAAGTATAAATAGACAGAGATTCTTGTCTTCTAGCAGCAGCAACTATGCAAAACTACTAACCAATAGGCAAGAAGAATGTGGACTATGGATCTGTGTGTGTGCGTGTGTGTGCGTGTGCGTGTGCGTGTGCATGCACATGTTGCCTTAGAAATAGGTAATCTTCTCAAAGGCCACATTGTCGTAGCTTTTGTCCTTAGGATCATAACCTGAAACAGGGACCAGGCTGTCTCGTCTGAGTCCATTCTGTAAGACAGATTCAGTTCTTTGTTTCTGTGTACTGCCATTCTCCGGGTTCTCCTGAGGAATATTGAAAGGCACATATTAGGGAAATAGTCTTGATATATCCTAAAACCAGTTGAAGGACTCTTGTTTAGGGCTCCCCCTTTGGAAAAAAAGTTACATAAATATGAAAGTAGCACAAATAACGGACCCGGGGCACTTTTTAATTGATAACTTTGATGCCTCAATTCATGTAGGTACTATTTCTAATAATAAAAACATTTAGTGAGCATTTACACTATATTGTGAGTTGTGTGAATATATATATGTGTGTATAAAATTTAGTAGAACAAACCTGTGGCATACTGGTATTACCTCCTGAGGAGAGACCACCTGTGTCTCAGACGGCGATGGCCTAATGAGGGTACTGCTTGGCAACAGAGCCCAATACTGACATGCTAAGGGTCCCTGCCACTCTCTACTCAGCCTTGACAACAGAAGCTGTCTGCATCAACAGGATTTATCATTTAGTGCAGGAAATTCTTGCCTAGGAAGATAAATATGTAAACTAATAAGTCACTAGATACTTTCCTTTTGGAACTTACTCAAAATCCATTTGTCCCAACAGTATACTAACCAACCAGCTGTCTCCTCAGTAGAAGAGAGTGCCTTCCCATTCCAAGCTCCTGCCAAGACAGTGCTCGCCTTACTGCAGTAACTATTAAACTCAGCTTTCCTTCCTGTGCATGTTATCACGGTGTTTGGGGGAGAAGGGGAGCAACTGACACCAGGTGATGTGATAAGGGTGAGGAGTCACTTTCTGGAGTATTAAAAGAATGAAATGTGTGGGACAATAAGCCCTAACAAAAAAACAAAAAGAAAAGGAAAACCCATGGCTGTCACTAGTCACGCTGAGAGGACCGACACACATGGGTAAGACCAGCTGCGAACATGAGAGAAAACATGGCTCCTCCCAGGTTTCTGCAGTCATCAAACACCGTAATGACTCCCAATGCTCGGGTTTCTTTCACCAACGCTGCTCCAGGCAGCGTTATTTCCATTCTTGCTTCCCTTCCCCTCCTTTCAGGATCCTTCAGCGGGAAGCCAACCCCCAAATACAGGCCAGTCTTTCCTTTTCTTGAGGACAGCACTCCCTGGTACCCCTGGACTGCCCTCACCCCCACTCCGTCCAGCTGCCTCAGTCAGTAAGTCTAATTTGGCCTGGCCACAGGCTGGGATCTTCAGAGGAGGGGCCCTAACAGTGCTTGGACAGTGTCGCTAACCCTGCCTGGGTGAAGCGCAGCTCTCAGTGGAGTCAGGAGAACAGGCGTAGGGGGATGAGAGAAGGTTCTGGGTATCCTGCTGCTTCTTTCTCTACCTAAACTCCCCCAATCAATCAAACTTTCTATTGATGCTCCGTGGAACTAGAGATGTTTGTGTGAGGGTTGTGCTGCACTGTTTCCCACTCCCCACCCCGACCCTCAGAGCTCAGGTTAAAACTGAAGTTGGGAGGCATAAAGTAAGTTACCCAAGGAAAGCAAGACGTGCAATCAGGGTAAACCCGCAGCCGATGCCAAATCCCGTGCTTTCCGCATTATGTGAGAGTGTGACCCTGTTTTATTCCTGTTCTAATATTCATTTTTATACTATTTTTTTTAAAATCCACCCTCGGAGGGGTTAAATAAAATTTTGGAAATGGATCATTTGCAAAGACAACAGTGTAGCCCAAAGGCTCATTTAGTGACAACATAATCACTTGCTTAAAAGCTAATCAGCTGAGGTAGCTGAGGTTTCTAACATTCACTGCCTGCCCTCCCCATCCCCACCCTTGCGAATGGTTTCAGTGAGCAAGAGGAAATCTCTTTGAGCTCATGAATATTTTTCAGAAGCTCGAACACCAGCTCACCTGCTCTGTTCCACCATCGTGCTGAACTCCACACCAGCACAGTGTTTTATATTTTTTAGACCAAAAGCAAAATAAGTTGCAAATGGGTCTAATTAGCACTGGTTGAATATCCTTGGCACTTTGGTGACCTGTTAATGAAAGAACAGATGGATTAGGTGGTTGCACCCTTGAGAAGTAGGTCTCTTCTCAGTCTAAGAGCTGTTTTTAAACAGGCCTGACTGGTTAAAAGAAATTAGTAACTGCTCAAAGGGGTGGGAGCTAGTTTTTTAAACATCCACAAGGTGTCAGGTGAGGCAAGCTCATGGCCACAGAGTTAAACAGAAAAACACTTATTTTTAAATATTTATTATGGAAAACACTACTACTACCCTTTCACAGAAGTGACAGCAGGAATTATATAATTTCTTCCTTTAGGAAAGCTCTCGGCTTTCAGGCCCATCAGATATATTAAAGGGCAGTGGAGTCAATATTTGTAAAATTGAAAAGGTTACATTGAGTGTTTCTTCTTCTCTCCACCCCAGCATCCTGAACATACAGTACCCTCATGTGCTCCCCAGCTACTCTAGACTTTCCTGGTACTTCCTTCCCCATCATTACAACATACCTGTTCAATGTCCCATTTCTTCAAATTCTACTATAAAACAAGAGTCTGGGCAGCAAAGACCACAGCCTTTAATGTCCAGCCCTTAAGAAAATAGTTTGCTGACCTCTGTATCTTTGATCTCATCAGAGAAATTTCCAGGATTACATTCTAAATTGTTGGGAATTAGATATAATTTATTATATTATATATTATGTATTATACATATTAATTAAATGCTTTGGGCTTTGCTGGCCAGAGGGTCTTTTTTGCCACTACTCAGCTATCCCTGTGTAGAATTAAATCAGTCAGAGACAATAGTAAGCAAATGGACATGACTGTGTTTCTATAAAACATTTTTATAAAGACAAGTAGTGGCCACATTTGTTGTTAGTTTGCTGACTCCTGACCCAAGAGATAAGCTTAATGAGCTAATAATTAAAGTTTTCATATCTGAGTCTTGTAGGCATATGATGAGGAATAAAAGTGGGTAATATTCAGATGAATACAAATTTTTGCCCAGCAAAAAATAGAAGAGTAAATTTATATACTCTATTCTCACAGTGGAATGATCTGGCCATTCAATAAACCAACATGGATATTCGTTCTTGACATACAAAATGATGTTTTCATTTTATATAGTTAAATATATAAAGCAAAATAACTTTTAGCTGCCCCGTAAAATTTTACCAATAATAATAAAGACTTTGATGGGTATCTTGGGCCAAGATCACCCTTTAGCAGCTTGCAGAGAAAAATTAATAATATAAATGATCTGGTGGTAGTAATCAAAATAGACATAGTTCTGTTTATCAACATGTATCAGTAACATGAATAGCAAATCTTTAAAGTGCTAGGTTATCCAGAAGAAGCAGGACTGAAATTGTCACTTAGTAATACCAAGCAACACAAACAGCAAGACCAAGATAAAATAGGACACAAAATGAGCAGACCTACAAAAGGCCTCTGGTCTTCTCTACTGATTTTTAAACATTGTAAGACATTTTTTATAATATAGAATATTGTAGAAGGTTTGTGAAGGCCTCTTAGACCAGAACTTAAGGTGTCAAGTCAGCCCTAGGGCCTCATTTGAAAGACAGGTACCACTAGACAGGAAGAGCTGATGCCAAGAGTAAATACTTTTTCCAAAGATTTGTTGGAGCAGCATAATTAAACTCTCATAAAGTGCTCCCTTTTGGTCTTAAGGATATTTTACTAGTATTTGGGACATGTATAGGAAAGGAAAACACAAGAATCAATATAAAGACAATTGTTTATACTCAAGATACAGAGAATTTTCAATCCAAATGTAAGTGCCACAACATCAGCACAAGAACATGTGAATTTCCATGTGCATGTGGAAGATACCTAGACAGGGCAGTTGCAAGGTTTGGTGTGCACACACGTTCTGCTCTGGAGCCAGGCAGCTAAAGCTGTGGTTGTCTGCTCAAGCTGTCTGACTACTGAGCTGATAAGTCTAGGGGCATTCCACCAGCATCAAGGAACAAAATTTCATCTGAGACCAATTTCACAAAGAAAGATATGGGGGAGTTTCAGCACATGAATGCCTGGGGTTACCAAATGTATGTTCTATACTATATCATACCCAAGGGTGGCTTAAAATTTAAGAGAATAGCTGGTGATATCATGCCTGGGGTAATAAGTCACTGGAGCTTGTGCATAGTATATCCAGTGCCGTCACCAGAATTATTGCCATTTAGATTACGTGTTGAGTAGGAAGGAATCTTGACTTCCCATTGCCTACAGTTATATAATGGTGGTAGAAAAAAATACAACATCTTAATACTAATTCATTCAGCTAAAATACTCATGTGTATTCCAAAGAGGCAGAGTAGCAAAATTACAATGGGCCAATGTCACCCCATTCTCCCTCACCAATCCCTCATGGGCTTTGACATAAAAGGGGCATTAAACCATCAGAAGGACAGTGGCTCAAACTAAAAACAGGAAACACTGGTAGCAAAAGTGTCTGACAGTGAAGCTGCTCACTGTGGAGAGCTCATGCCCCTGCAGGAGTGACCTCCAAAGGACAACATATCCGAAAGTGACAGTAAGACTCTCCTCTGCTTATATGGCCAGTTAGTAAAGGCTAAGCCATGATAGAGTAGGGTGGTCACAGGAAAAACTCCAATCTCTTACTGAGATAAAGGGGAAAAGAATCACTCCTAACATTTAACTTCCTTATTGATGGTTATATTACAAAGGATTTCTCATACTCAGGCTTCTGGAGGCTGTGTGTCAAAACATCTTTTTTTTCATAATATATGGAGGATATTTTAATATACATTTTATATTATTAATTATATGCTTTATATTAATCAGGTATTAATCTTCCATATTAGATATATGATTAGTAATATATATAAAGGGATACATTTATAGATCACTTTGGAGAGTAGATAGATCTCTGGGAAGGGAAGCTTTTTGTGGCGGATCCAAAACCACAGCAGCAGAACAGTCCCCCCCATTGCATGAAACTAGCCCAGGTCCTTCGGGCCCCAAAGAGGAGATCCACACACCAACCTGTGAGGGAGCTGATGATTACTCCAGCAGCAATGCAGCCCAGGCAGCCCACTGCACTGTAGTACAGGTAGGAGAGCGAGTACCAGGTGTCAGCGATTGCAGGTCTGTGGAGGACAACAGCCCATGTGAGTCCTTGAGTTGTGATTCACACGGACTTAGAGGACTTCTGAGCGTTCATTCTAGGGCCTGGCACCTCTCCAAGCCTCAAAGCTTAACTTCTTGCCATTTGATTTTTTTTTGAGGACTCAAAGGTAGACTAGCAGTGCTTGGTATTTCACTCTACCCTATCCATCCCCAAATTATAAATATTGCTCTTGAGATACGATTGCATTGAGGACCATGCATCCAATTTCTTTTGTATCATTTATTCTTCAGACATTTATTAAGCCCAGATTCAGTCCCAGAAATTGTGACACTGAAGAGTTATAAAGCCACTTTGAGCAGTGTGGCTCCATGGGTTGGGTCGCTCTGTGTTGTCCTGCAAACAGTAAGGTCGCTGGTTCCTTTCCTGGTCTGGGGGCATGCCTAGGTTGCAGGTTCAGTCCTTGGTTGGGGCTATGTGAGAAGCAACCAATCCATATTTCTCTTACACATTGATGATTTTCTCCCTTTCTCCCTCCCTTCCTCTCTCTCTAAAAACAAATAAATAAAACCTTTAAAAAAAGAAAAAGGAGAGTAAGCCATGCAGTCTAAATATAGAAGTTAACAATCATAAAATGGAGTGGCAATGTCCTGGTGGAAGAGGATCGTAAGAGGATTCTGGGAGCAGCAAACCCAGGCTGATGTATGAAATGATACCTTAGCTCATTTTTAAAGAATGGTTACTAGTTAATCAAGCAAAGAAAAGAGGATACTATCAGCACAGGCAAGAAGGAAACAACATGATAGACTAGGAAACTATAAATCAGTTGACATTGTTTGTCCATAAGATTTGTGGAGAACAATAACTCTAAACTAATGAAACTCAGGCAAATGAAAGCAAGATAATGCAGTGCTCGTACATTATCAGGAAAGGACCACCTACTCGGGAGCATAATTAGGTGTGGAAATGGGAATTTATTAAAGTCAGGCACAGTGCTCCTGGCTCTCTCTCTCCCCTACTCCCTCATTCCCTCCAGATAGATAGCTGGGTAGATAGGTAATAAAATTTAATACTTATAGATACACAGATATAATGTTTTAAGGTTTTATTTATTTATTTTTAGAGAGAGGGGAAGGGAGGGAGAAAGGGAAATAGGGAAACATCAATGTGTGGTTGCCTCTTGCACGCCCCACCCTCACTGGGGACCTGACCTGCAATCCAGGCATGTGCCCTGACTGGGAGTCGAACTGGTGACACTTTGGTTTGCAGGCCAGCACTCAATTCCCTGAGCCACACCTGTTAGGGGTAAATATAATTTTATATAGAAATATAAATTTAATATAATTTAAAATTATATATATATAATCAGTATTATTTAATCCTCTCAAAATCTTGGTAAAGTACTCATTACTTTCCCTAAGAACTATAAGAATTCAGGAAGTGACAAGTTACTACCTTGTACAAAGATAAAATATGAATAAATCGTAAAACCAAAATCCAGACCCAGGTATTTCTGATTTCAAAGCCCAAGGTCTTCTCCCTGAACCCCATTATCTTCTGTATTTTGGTATCTCCAAGTACTTACCCCAGCCCAAAACTGAAAGGAAAACCCTTTGTTAGGAGCTGTACAGTTCAATGAAAATGATAAATTCACAGCCCCGCTCCTTCCTCAGTGAATCCCAACCACTCTCCACGCTGCTCACAAACCTATTCTACTCCATGCCTGTATTCTTTCAAAAGACACTATGATCTTCAGACGTATTTTCAATCCTCTCACTGTTTTATCTGTTTGCACTCATCCCTCCAACTTTCCTTCTGTCACATTCACCCTCCCACACCGGACTGCAGAAGAGTGGATACAGACAGAGCCGGAGCCCTGCAGGACACTCCACAGTGCTCAGTGCTGCCTGGAGGACGCCCCACAGCAAAGCAACATCTATCTGCTCAGACTGATCGCTCACGAGCGCACCTTCCTCTAACCCGGTGACCCGCTGCCTGGGACTTACTGCCATCTTTAGAGGCCCCGTACCTGCTGGATAGCATGGGAAGCACAAACTCTGTCACATTTGATGGGACACACTGGTTTGTCGATAAAGGCAGGGGCCATGTCTTGGAGGCTGGTGCAGGATAAATGAAGGCCCCAATGGCCACCCAGAATGCCAAGGTGATGCCTGTCAGAAGGCCTCCTAGAGCGCCCTTGTGAAGGAAAAGACAAGTTAATGAAAGGTTTGACGAAGCTGTTGAAAGCTTGATGAGGTGAAGAGCACTGTGCCTCTGAGACTCTGGTTTTCCACCCAAATCTCAGTCACTCACTCTGGAAACAGCCTTCCTTCCAACTCCCGCAATGTTTTTTTTTATTTAAAAATAATTCATTCCTTCAATAAAAGCACTACATAATTTTCTAGTGATCATTATAGTTAGATTCCTAGCAGGAATCTTTTCCCTCCCTCAGTTTAGTCTCTTTCTCCCTCTTACCACTTAAAAAGCTGTTGAAAGCTCAGTTCCCAACAGCTGAATTTCAGAAGTTTGGGGAAAACTCAGATAATGGGGACAGCGTGGTCATTTTTCACTGACATCTATTACCATAAGCTAATAACACAGAAACTCTACCCCCATATGCTTTTCCAGATGATGCCCGCAGAGACTGACTCCCAAGTGTGTAGTGTTGAATCTAAATTCTAGCATGTATATTTACTAGCCCTTTCATTGCTCAATAAACAGTGAAAAGTCACCACTTCTGCAAAGGAAACAGAACAGTCTAAGCAGAGACCAGCCCCACTGGAAAATAAAGTCTGGATGCCCCTGGATTCTCCTGAGTAGCTGAGCCTTCTCTGCAAAATAAAACAACATGTTTGTTTCTCTGTCGATGCAGAATAGAAGTTCTCCAATAACAGCACTGGAATGCTCCGTTCATTATGATTTAGGGAAACAAACAATGCGTGTGATTTGAATGGTTGTAACTTGGTCTAGACCAGAAGTCTGCAAGCATCTATTATAAACAGCCAGCCAATATGCATTTTAGGCCTTGTAGGCCATTCAAGGGCTGCCACAGCCACTCAGTCCTGGCATTGCAGCATAAGAACACTCCAGACACCAGGGAAACAAAGGAGAGTGGCTGTGTTCCAGTAAAGTGTATGGGCACCGAAATGCGAATTTTTAATATTCGCATCACAAGACATTCTTCTTCTTTTGATTTTGCCCAACAATTTAGAAATGTCAAATCATTTTTAGCTTGCCAGCCATGACGAAACCAGGAAGATGGCTGGGTTCAGTTTGAAAGGTGCAGTTTGCTGACCCCTGGCCTACCAGTAAAGGGTGAATGGATTTCAGTACAAGGCTCCACCCTAACTGACTTAGAGCAGCTGCCTTCCTTGAAAGCCATGCTGAGAATTCTGACGTTGCCTCCATATTTAGTAATGAGATAGCCAGGACTGATTAGAAAGACCTTCCATGGCCAATGACAAGGGAAGAGGTGATACAAATTTGTAATATTTATTATATTTTATCTAGAACAAGGTGGTTTTCCTGACTAATTAGAAGGACCATGTTTCACTAACATAGATAACAAATTAATGTCTAGAATCCAGTAAGATATTATGTAACTAGCTATCAGGTATTCCGTGGCTAAGAAATTGCATTTTTTCATACTGTCTCTCCAAGGATATAACTATCCTTGTCAACTTTAATATCAGAAAAGTTTATTAAAACAGTGTCTTCTAATAAAACTACAGGGGAAGGACTGCAGATTCCTAGATGTTCCCTACCTATCCAGGCCCTTCCCATAAGATTTATCTAGAAGAGAGGTCAATAATGGTCAGGTAGCCACAGAGAGCCAATTAGGTACACCATCTGATCAGGCTTTATCAATGACTGTATAATCTATTAAAAACATGCAGAGTCAGGTTTTCTGGAGTCTAACTTTCTAAAACCTTATGTATGTGAAGGTGTACATGGAAATATTTAAAATATCAAGTTAGATTGAAATAATATTTAAAAGACTTTTAAATATTATTATTTCTCCAAATAAATGTTTATTTTGATTTATACTTACTACATAGTCATCCAACCAACATTTACTTAAGAACAAACGATTAGCTTGCCAGCTGGCAAAACCAAGAAGATCCAGCTCTCAGAGTACACAGGGCTTGTCTCCTCTTCCCTCCTTAAAGTAGTGCATTATAACATAAGTAAAAAAATTAAAAAAAACAGATGTGCATCTTTTTTCAGTTTTAAAAATTGTGTTTAAACTAGAGTATTTCTGCATTGAATATCTATGTGAACTTTCACTCTGTGGGCCCTTACTTCAGAGAATGTAAACCCTGAAGAATCCGCTTCGGTGGCGTGGCACTTGGCGTTTCACAACCACCTCTTACTGGCTTCGCTTTCCACTTCTAAAACAACTCCACTGACTCAGAGATAGGAAGGCTCAGGCTTTGTGTTCTATGGAAAGAAAGCACTAGGTTTTTTTGTTTGTTTGTTTGTGTCATTTTGTTTTGGCAAGGACACATGGCCTTTCCATGGAGGAGTGAGAGTTGACAGAAGAGAGGGGAGCGCGAGACTCTTACCTTCCAGTTCACAAAAGGAAACACAATCCCCAATGTGAACAAGCCCAGCATCGGTCCCCCACACATGCCATGGACGCTGATTGCGGCCTGCAGAGAAAGGCGGGTCAGAATCACAGCTTTGTGACCCACCTGGGCCCACCTCTTTTGTAGACTTGGGATAAAATTCAGTCCTACTCCTGAATGCACCACTAATTAATCACGGGCTTTCTGGAAGTCATTGCTCCCTTCTGGGCTCAATGATAAATATTGTGTTAAAAAATGAAAATACATACAAACAGACGTGTGTGCATGTGCATACATACTCAGGTAATGTGGATTTGGGAAAAAGTAGTTTTCCCTCAAGCTGGAACTCATTGATTTGTTTGTATTTTCTATCTTATCAAAGTGTTTTTATATAATGTACCAAATAAGTACACATATAACACATGTCATATCTTATGTAGTTGATCAGCTGTTTGAGCAATCATCTTATTTTGACAGCAATAGCCTGTCTCTCCATCTCTGACATCTTACGCAGAACAACTCAAGGAAGTCGAAGCGTTAGGTATGGCAGGAAGCCATCGGATGCTCATGTCCCACTCCCCTCCTTTATGGCTTCTTGTGGAAATGGAATTTGACAAATGTATTTCCACATCTGTCAACCTCTAAACTACTGAGCTCAGTGGAGTGGCAAAGATTTGTCATTAAACTAAAGGTTGTCAATCTATAGCCTTGTTCGATGGCCTTGGACAGCAGTCACAGTGGTGCAGGGAAATGCGCATGCACACACACACACACACACACACACACACACACACAGCTACTCTGCAATCAGCCCTGTCTCATCCCATTAATGCAATTATAGGGCTCTTAGATCAAAAGGCTGAGATGAGGATGGTCCAAAGATCTTATATATATGGTATGTCATGGTTGTCAGGCGCCCCCTACAGGCCAGATCGTAAGGATGAGCTACTTGGGCGTCCAAATAAAGGACCTCATTTAGTCCTTACAGTTAGTTGCCTTGTAGTAGGTAGCACTAACCCAGCTTCATAGATGAGAACATCGGACTGAGAGAAAACGTAGTTAAAATAAAGGCATATTTCATCTAGACAGAGGCACAGGTGAGATTTAAGAGTTTTAAGCCATTTTGTCTGGCTATAAAACCCACATTTTCTTTTCAAAAAGGAGTGTTTAAAAAGAAACAAAGTTAAGAGCATAAATCACCATAAGGGCCTTCTTTGTTTCACTTAAGGGAAAAAATTCTTGAAAGAGTCCATCACTAATAGAATATTTAAATTCTAATGTTGGCCCCGCAACACAGAGGTATGATTTGGTGGACCTTCTGTTGTTAACTCTGGTTCGTTCTACTCCAGAGAGACTTCCCCAAACAACAAAGGGACACGACCAAGGGGCTTTCAAATCCCCCCACCCGCCTGTATTGTAAGTTCTTCTGTCCAGAAATAGGAGATGGAAGGCAATGTCATGAGTGTTTTGCCAGGTTAATTTTTAGAGAACTGGATGCCACAAATAAATCTTTCATAAAACAGAGGCTGATAAGATTAAAGTTGATACTTTTCCAAAATGTAGATAATTTAATATTCTTGACACTTCCTCTGTTGATTGACAGCATTAAATCATAGTTGCTATGGTTGCTGAATTTGGAAGCTAATTTACTAGGTATTACATGGAAAAGTCAGTTAGTTAAAAAAAAAGGTACTTATCTCTCCCAGTAGGGGAAAAATTAAAAATCTCTTACAAAGTCATTAGCCTCAGGAAAAATAAAAGTCTTATGTGATAGGAAGAAAAAAATCTAAGAAAGTCAGTAATTATTATCCACTCACACGTATTCATTTTTTTTGTTTAAATGACATGATTGAAAACCTATGGCATGCCAAGAAAACGTAAAGTATCTTCATGTAATACAAAGATAAAGAGGAATTGAAAGTGTCAAAGTAGAATCTGAAGACTTGCTTCTCTGCTGTTGCTTTGCAACTTGGGCAGTTTGTGAAGGGAACGGGTGTTATGACCTCAGGAGACCAGGGTCATAAACCCGGTTCAGCCACTAACTAGCTGTGAGCACTTGAGGAGGATATTTCTACTCTTTTCTGTGTTTAACTACAAAAGGAAGATGGTAAAACAGATTATCCTAAGGCTCCTTTTAGTGCTGGCATTTCATGGAAGCGCCAGTGGGACATGTGGAAGGAAGTTCAGGCTGGATAACAGGTGAACAATTGATGAGTCGAGCCCTAGCTCCAGTCTTTATTTACGTGACTTTGAGACCAGTACTTCACCTGTCTACATTTCAGTTTCTTCAGCTATAAAATTAGTAGGTTAATCAAACTACCCCCTAGAGAAGTGGTAAAGATTAAATGAGATAATATATTTGAGATTATACCTAGATTAGATAAACTTTTCATAAAATCAGTCGGTTTTTTTGTCATGATTATCATTCCTACTTTTACTTCAGTATCATAATTTCTCAGATCTGAATTTTAAAAGTTCCTAAATTTATTACAGTGTACCTCGTCCCCAAGTCCCATTATTAGTTTTTTTCTTCTCATAGTTTGTTCTTCTGAAAGTAATTTTGGTTGAAATGTTATCTGCATGTCTAATTTGAATCTGGCATCAGAGGATGGCTCAGAGGAACATGAAAAACAGTAGACCACAATGAAGGTAAAATGTTGCTATGAGATTAAATGTGTCTCTTTCCTCTTTCATTACCTGTATGATGCTCCCCATGAGGGACGCAGCCACAGCCATGGAGGTACATATCACACCAAATAAGATACCTGAAAGGATAAAAACCCTCATTACCATCACCCAAGCTGGCTTTGAGGGGCTCCTTTAGCTCCTGCCCAGAACCACCTCTGATGCAAGCCCAATCGTTAGGGGTGTCGGTGAGAACTGACCTCAGCCATCACGGGCCCCAAGAGGAGCATTTAGGAGATTTTTCTCCCCGAAACACGCTATCTTAGGTCAGGCAGAATGAGCTGGAACCTAGTGCCAAATAATTTCCTATCCAAGACTCAAGAAGAAAGCTGTCAGGTGAAAGCAGCCTGAAACTGTGGGAAGGTCACTCATCGAGGCCGATCCAGACAGTGACAGAACTAATTCCACTTTGACCAGTGAACAGTCACCTGAAGAAGTTACTAACTTCTCTGGGACTCAGACAGCTTGCAAATCATTAAATATTTGTACATTTTTATCTTACACGCTTTGCAAATCTGGACAGTTCTGCTGGTTGTTTCCCTAGGTGCTTTATTCGCACTATCCTCATGGCCCTTGGCAGACAGCAAACTGGGTTATTTGTTCACGTACCCACGTACCCTCAGGGCGCCATGTGCTGAACCACCTCACACGGCACTTCTAGTAATCATCGGCAGCCATCCCTCAGTCCAGGGGTTCTACCTTTTTGTGTGCTGACTAGAGAATTGATCCAACCTCTCCCGCACCAAGTACTTACACTTCAGAAGAGTGCTATCAAGAACTACTGCAAGGCAAAGCAGTCAAGGTGAGTGGGAAAGAAAGCTCCACAGGTGCAGCTAATGCTGTGGATTGTCCCAGTGCTACATCAGCTCAGAGGATCAGACAATAATAAACCATGGACATAAAAGAAACTTGTACTCAAGCCAGCACATCCATAATATCTGCTAGAAACTGGAATTGTACTGGGGGTAATGTCCATCCACCTGCTGTTAGCTCTAACTCATTATGCAAGATAAGTAAATAGATGCATGCAATTTAATGAACCAGCTGACAAACATGCGGGCAGGTGTTGATCTGTCCTCATTCAATCATAAATAAAAAGAAACAAATCATATGAAATTCTTGGCAAATGCTGTCAAACAAGGGAATGAATACGTGCACCTAAATGCTCAAATAAAGGCTACACTTTCTGGAAATAATTTACCTTAAGGGCCAGAAAATAAAAATATTTATAAACTGCTTGGAAAACTTAATATAACATACAAATATACAATCTCAATGGAGCAAACAACAGAGAGGGCAAGAGAAAACCAATGAAATGAAAAGCAGTGAAAGCCCTGGCTGGCATAGCTCAGTGGATTGAGCACCGGCCTATGAACCAAAGGGTTGCCCGTTGAATTCCTGGTCAGGGCACATGCCTGGGTTGCAGGCCAGTTCCCCGCAGGGAATGCAGACAAGGCAACCGTACATTGATATTTCTCTCCCTCTCTCCTTCCCTTCCCCCTCTAAAGATGAATATTTTTTTAAAAAGAAAAACAATGAGAGAGGGTGCACCACCAATACGTTAGGTGAAGATGGATCCAGTGTAACAAGGAAAGACCACAAGGAAATAAAAACCGTGATAGCTGACCAAGTACCTCCACTCTTCAGTACTTATCAAAAAAATTGGTTGTATAAAAGTATTCATAGCAACTTTATTTATTATAACTTCAAACTGAAACAGTCCAGCTCCACCTATAGAAGTAGATGTTTTAAAAAAATCTGTGGGAGACCCTGGCCAAGTAGCTCAGTAGGTTAGAGTGACATCCTGATATGTCGAGGTTGCAGGTTTGATCCTTCATCAGGATACATACAAGAGTCAACCGAGAAATGCATAAATGAGTGGAACAACATGTTCCATGCTCTCAATGTCTCTCGCTCTTTCCCCCTCATTCTCTCTCTCTTAAAAAAAAAAGCAAACAAGCAAAACCCCCAAAGTTGTGCTATATTCATACAATGCCATACTGCTCAGCAATGGAAATTGATGGATCGTGGATACACAAAACAATGTGAATAAATCTCAGAAATTTGTTGAGTGAAAGGAGCCTTACAAAAAATAGTGTATACCATGTGATTCCATTTACATGAAATGTTAGAAGAGGTAAAACCAGCCTATTTTGGAAAGTATCTGGGGGGAGGGGGAGCAGGGGTTGACTGGGATGAGCAAAAGGGAGCTTTCCAGGGTCTGACAATGATTTATGTCTTTAGTGGTTGGTTTGCACAGGTGTATGAAGTTGTCAAAACTCAGGAAATGCATACATAACATCTGTTCATTTCATTGCAGGTAAACAAATACCATATGATCTCACCTATAAGTGGAATCTAATGAACAAAATAAACTAATGCAAAAATAGAATCAAACACATGAAAACATGGATCAGACTGAAAGCAATGGGGGGAATCATGGAAAGAAGGGGAAGGGACTAGATAAGAACATGTATGAATGACCCACGGACATGGACAACAGTGTGGGAATTGACTGGGGGATGGGTGGAGGTGGGCTAAGGTGGAAAATTGAGGCAACTGTGATAGAATAACAACAAACATTATTTTAAAAAGGAAACTTTAAACAGTTACTTAATTCTAGTTAATAATATGCATCGAAAAATTAGAGGGATATATTTAAATATGGTGGATTATTAAATGGATAGAGATCTAGATGGATATGAGGATAAGTAAGTCTAGAAAAATGTTAATGGATGACATATATATAGGGATTGTTAAAGGCTTTAAACCTTGTTGCATGATATAATTTTTATAATAAAATTTAAGGGGCAAAATACAGTAGCAGAATTTAAATTATTACATTTAAAACTTTATGGAGAATTCAGAATTAACTGAGGAAAAACGATTTCTTCAAGTGTGATGAGTTAAAAAACAAAACTATGGGGATAAGAGAAAAACTGAAAAAAATGAAGAACAAACAACCTAAATTTGACAATAAGGAGATGAGAAAGCTACCAGTATTAGTAGGCAATGACCATACTTAATAGAAAGCCAATTAAAATTTGGAAATCAGCAATAGTTGGGTAAATGGAAAGATACACGTTTTATAAGACAAAAACAGAAACCTACAGCTTTTCCATATTGATTATACACAGTTTTGGAGAGATGGAGAAAGCTTCTCATTCACAACATCAGTGGGAGGAGGAGGAGGAAGAGGAGGGCAAGCAAGAGGAGGGGGAAGGCATGAATATTATTAATATCTCGTATCAAAATTATTATATTATTAAACAGAAAAAAATCGATGCTATTTTTATATGTAAATCTTACAATTTTTCCCAAATGCATTTTCAGACATAATGCGGTCCCATGAGGGATAGTGCAGTTAAGTAATATGCAATATATTTTATTTTAAAGTTATGCTGAAAGAAAGCTAAACATAGAGAGCAAATTTTCTTGTAAAAAAAGTAACAATAGAAACAATTTTAATTTAACTAAAAAAAGGTGACAGGATTAGATACAATTTTATTTTAAAAGTGTATATATTTTTCCAAATTACCTATATTTCCTATAATAAGTAAACGAGCAAATGATTTGTTTATACTTAGAAGTAAATTGTATAAAACTATAATTAAGATAATAAGTATTAGAGTAATTATAAATATAATATACAATCATACAATTAAGCAAGGAGAAATTATTCTTTGAGGTGATATTGCTGGGAGTTTGGCAATAAAGTATTTGGATTTATTAGACAAAGTGACTGGCCATAGTTAGCAGAATAATATCCCAAATGGAGGAATTGATATGATCAATACATAGCATAATCAAAAGATATTGAAATGATGAATCTAGAATGTAGGGCCAGCACAAAAGAGTGTTGAAAATAAGAGTGGTGAACGGTGAGCTAGCAGGTCATGCTTTCCTGGTACCCCCCCTGGTATCTTTGCAACTGTAAGAATCTGTATGTGAGTTTTCTTATGCATCTCACACGCGTTTGCGCCAGTGTGCTGAATAGCACGTGTAGGATTTTGACAGGTACCACACACATACATTTCATGGTATGGGATGAAGATTCACTGACTATACCTACATAAGCCTTTACTGATCCAGGTGCTCAGCTTGTCGGAGAGGTGGGGAAAACAGCTCTTGACAAAATCCTCAAAGGTCACTGTTGCTAAGGCATTGATGCTGGCAGCCACGGTGCTACAGGGAGAGAAAAGCGAGAACACGGTCCAAGCTAAATAAAGCTAAGCCACCAGCCTGCCCTGTTTTCCAGGGCAAATAGATAAGGCAGCGCTCTGGGACAACAGATGTGGACACACATCCTCATTCTGGAACCCCAGGGGAGCCACATGGCCTATGTACGCACTCGTCAGAGCTGCTTCTCTGCTTAATGCTCTTTCAATGCTCCCACAGACTCCACTGAACAAGCTAGGTTTTCATGTTTTAACTCCCACTCATTTCCCTTAACAGGATGTTAAATGAGTTATCAAGCAGTAGCAGAGAGATTGGGTATGCGCATGTGTGTGAGTGCTTGGGGTGTGGTATGGTGGAGGGCTTAGGTTAGACTTGAAGCAAGATGTAGTGGTTATCCCAACTCAGGTGTCAGTTCACTTTGCCATTCATTCATATTAATTAATGTGTTAATAACATTCATGCATCTGTTTGTTCACACTGGGTACTAGGCATGTAATGGTGAACAAGAAACCAAAGATCTTCCACTTGTTTTGGAGGCAGGGACATTTAACAGACAATTGTGTGATTGATTAATGACTGTATAAACTGTTATGAAGGAAAATAACAAAGTGCTAGAAGAACATGTCTTGCAGAGACCTAAACCAATATGAAGTTAGAAGATTCTCATCTAAGAAAATTATGGTTAAAATGGGAACTGAAAACACCCATGCACATTGAGAAAAAGGTGTTCTAGAACAAAGGGAAAATTACATTTAAATGTCTGAAAGTTTGTTGCATTCAACCATCTGCAGCCATCAGAGGGGCTAGCCAGCAATCAGTAAAGAGGTAGAGGATAAAAGATAAGGCTGGGAAGGAGCCAAAGACCTAAACTCATAAAAGCTCTGACTTTCCCATCAGAGTTCAGTTTTATGGCTCTAAGAAGGACCTGAAAGTTGTCATTTTTCTCACAGAATAACATGAAACCTTATCGAATTCCTTATAGAAGCCAGGAGTATTTCAGCTAGTAAAATAGATAACTATATAAATTCAGCTGAGGCAAAATCACAACCACAAACAAAAGTTCTAGAAAACTAACAAGATAATGAACAAACCTGGCCAACCATTGTAAATTTTCCATTGGCATTCATTATTAGTTCTTTTGTTACCCTCCAATTCACATCTGAAGACTTGTTATAGCTGTGCCAAAGGTATGAAAGAAAATTGGAACTACTTCTTTTTGTGGTAATGCTGGATAATAGTACTGTTCATCTTAGCTGTAATCTTACTTCAGTTGGAATAGTTCCAAGGGTCCATCTTATGCATTATTTAATAGTTCCATTCCTAAATGACAGATACAGTAAGTACAAACTTCATAAGACCCATTTCTGGGAATTGAAACTGTAAGTACATATCATTCTTATTTTCCTGAGAAGCAAGGCCTGGTATATGTTCCCTGCAGCTTCCTGGAAGTCAAATAAGGAAAGGAGGTGATCAAATAAAAGGAGCACTCCCAACAGGCATGACTCAAAATCAATTATGTGAAAGTTGCAAATATTATGGTTAACCTTTGAATCCATTGTGAAGGAGGGAAGGCAAAGCTGACTTTGGCCCAGAAGGCTCAGATTTTTAGAACCTCTGCTGGGCTGTTTTTTGCATTCAGGTGTATTATTCATTCATACGTCAATTTCTCAAATTCTAAAACTGCTCCAACAAGATAGTAGAAAGCTTTTCTTTTTCCTATATCTCCACTACTACGCTTTTACTCTACCCCTATTCTTGTCTTCCCCTTTGCCTAATCCAATACCCTCCTGAACATTTATAGCAGTAGTTTCTCTACAATATATACTCCTGAGAGAAAAAATAAAGAGTACTCTCTGGAAAGGGACAAACTGAAAAGATAGTGTCACCCCTGCTTGGGTGTGATCCTCTGGTGCTCTTGTTTCTGCCTTAGTTTCCTTGAGGTCCTAATGCCAGCACCAAAGAGCACTTTGTGTTGCTAATGCAGAATTCTGAAAGCACAGAGCAAAATATTCAACAGTACACTAAGTTAAAATTACAACATTAGCAAGTTGCAGTCAACATATGGATTCAAGAAGTTTCTAGTTTGAAAATTTGTCAACATAATAGTAATATGTCAAAGCTTAACAATTTTCTAAGTACCCATTTTAAAATTTCCAAAATTTACCAATCAGGGGAGAGGGGAGGGAATTTCAGGGAAAAATGGGATTTACAGAAACTAGTATAAAGGACACATGGACAACAAGTAAGGGGGGTGGAAATGGGAGGGAGGTGGGGAACACTGGGGGGAGGTGGGCTGGGATGGGAATAAAAGACAGAAAACTGTACTTGAACAACAATTAAATTTAAAAAATTAAAAATAGTAATAATAAAATAAAATTTCCAAAATTTTACCAAAATTCAATAGTCTCCCTGATAAAAATATTTTCTAAAAGTACAATAAATTTATGCATTTTTTACCTTTTTTACAATTTTACTAATTTTTAAAAATGTATATATATCTTTCAAATCAAAATCTAAAATCATGTTTAACGATAGGATCCAAGAAATATTCCCTTTAAATTATATAACAAGATCAGGATTTCTGCCATTCCTCAATTGATTATCATTGGCCTCAAAGCACAATTGTATATGAGAATTAACATAGGAGCGTAATTACTTAAAAATAGAGAAAAACAAAATTATTCATAGATCTCATGATTTCAGTACAATCAAACCCTAAAAAAATTAAAATAATAATTGAAAATGATTAGGAGAAAACTAGATATCAAGGGAACTTCTGTAAAAGGAAAGTAATTAATAATTATGAGTCTCTCAGACTTTAAATCATATTTTAAAGCACAATTGCTAAAATTATTAGAATTGGCATAACTGTAGACAAATAGATCAAAGGAATATAAAAGGGAATCCAGAAAAGTCCTGAGCACATCAAAAAATGTAGGATGTACTAAAAATGGCTTTTCAAGTTAATAGTTAGAAGATTTATTTGGTTTTTACTAAAAAAATAATGGGACAACTGGTAACTCACTAAGAAAAAATATGAGTCAGAAACTCCATTCCTCATGACACATGTGTAGTCTAGATGATTTAATAATATTTGACAGTTAACAAAATCATTAATATATTAGAATAAAGTCTGTGTGATTACTTATAGTCATGGCATGGAAGCCTTTCTGAGAAAGATATTAAGTAGAAACTGTAATGTAAAAGAATTGATTGATATAAAATAAAATATCCATATACTCGAAATACCATTAATATAGCCAATAAAGAGCAAATGAGAAAAACAAGACATGTCAAAAATATTTTCAGATTTATAAAGAGGAAAACTTAAAAGAAAAAAATCCTGAGTAAATAATTTGGTATATTTCAAAACAAACAAACAAAAGAAAATGAATGGCCAGCGAAATTAGAGAAAGGTTGCCAATCCTACTTATGATGAAGGGAATTCATAGTTAAATTAGTGACCATTTTTCCAGCTGGCAAGTTTAACAGTGCCATAGTACTCAATACTGACAGTAGTGTGGGGAAGGAGTTACACTAGTGTTTTCAGTGTATAAAATAGTACAAACTTTTGGAAGTTAATTTAGCAATGTGCATGAAAAGTTTTAAACAAATTGTATTTTGACACAGTAATTCTACGTCTTATCATGTAGTCTACATATATCCTTGCACAATTTCAGAAAGACATACAATGTGGTGAGCTATGTCCTGCCAAAACTCATATGTTGGAGCCTAATTTCCAATGGACAGTATTTGGAGGTGGGGCCTTTGGGACTTAATCAGATCATGAGGGTGAAGCACTGATGAATGGGATTAGTGAGAGACCATTAACCAGACCTCGTGGAGAGCTCTGTCACCCCTTCTAGGACGCAAGGGCTCAGCAGGAAGACAGCCGAGTTTCAACCAGAAAGTGTGTCCTCACCAGACACCAAATCTGCCAGTGCCCGAATCTGAGACTTCCTAGCCCTGAGAACTATGGTTAATGCATTTTCACTGTTTGTAAGCCACCCAGTCTGCGGTACTGTTACAGCAGCCCAAACAAACTAAGACATACGCATTGTTAGTTACGCCTTACATCAAAGCACTGGAAGATCAAACAATGAATAAGGTAGATCTGCGGATGCAGGAAGATTTTTAAATTGTATTAACTTAAAGAAATGGAACACTATATACAATGTGATCTCTTTTTTGTACACTAAATGGTACATATGTTCATATAAGCAAAGAAACTTTCTGATTTCTTAACAAGAAATTATTAACAGCGGTTAATTTTGTGGGGTGGGACAAGAGATTTGAGGGATAAGATACAAAGATTTTACTTTTGTCCACTGGTACTGCTTGAATCTTGACCCTGATCAATTTCCTGTGTTAAACTTGGCCTTTAACCAATCCTGTAATTGATTCTGTACAACTGAGTTCCAGGAAGAGAAGTAAGACTTTTCCCACTAGCTGGGTCTCTGGTTCTCAAAGGCAGTAGGTCCAGCTTAAAGGAAAGCAGTGATGCTACCTCACTGCTCCAGTGCACTGCCCTTAACACTGCTGCCCCTACCCTCTCCAAGTCACTATCTTCTCTCACTTGAATGAAGACAAATGCTTCCTAATGAGTCACTCACTTTTACTGCTCAGGCTTTTATTATAAGCTCTTCCCCACGTAGAAAACTGAGTCTTCAATTGTATGACATCACTCACTGCCTTGTTTCTGACCTTCTGATGTTTTCCCATTTAATTTGAAATGCAAACTCTTTATCATGATCTGATGCCTGTTCACCTCTTCAAACTCATCCCCATCTGCTCTCCTCCCAGTTCCTCGGCTTTAACCCTTCTGTTTGTTCCTGCCATATTCCACACAATTTCTTTTCCGGGGGCTTTGGAATTTGCTCCTCCCCATGCCCGTAAGCCCGCCTGTGCTCTTCACAGAGGTAGCTGCTTCTCGTGCTTTCAATCTCATCACACGAGTCACACACCCAAAGAGGAGGCTCCTAAAGACACTATTAAAAACAGAATCCCCCAGGCCTCACCTCTCTCTAGGATATCACCCTGTTATTTCCTTTCTATTATTTGTCATCAAACCATATCTTGTTTATCTTGTTCACTTATAAATTGTCCACTTTCTATGCCAATTAGAATGCAAACTCTATATGAGAGAAATGTCAGCCTTGTCCTCCACCATATCCCCATGTTCCCGCCATCACCAATTGTGCCCAGCATAACATAAACCTTAGAATGATGTCTACATATGGAAGATGGGAGTTGTTAGCTGCCTGAGTGTGCTACTGAAAATGGGAAGAATGGATTGCAAAGAATGGATCTGCAGAAATACACTGTGGCTGGGTGGCAAATGCCACCAGAGTGAGCTGCCTAGTGTAAAGGTGGTGTGCAGTTGCGGGGGACAGAGGGCATCAGACAGGGTTGACAAGATTAAAGAAAGGTCTAGTGCGTGGGCACGCCTAGGTTTACATCCTGCTTCTGCAGTTTACTATGTCCCGTGGGTAAGTTGTCTACCTTGTTAAATCTCAGTTTTCTTATCTCTACACTGATGATAATGTGAATAAAGTTTCATCCTCATATATAGTGTAACAACTAACAAGCAAACACAAAGAAAGCATTTAGCAGCACGGCTGACACTCGGTAAGTACTCGGTAAATAAATACCAATGATTCCCTACCGCCATCACCTCCTCACCCGTGTTGCACCAACATTGTCATCACATGTTAGTGCTGCCAAGGCACTAACCTCAGAGTTCCACTGAAGGCACAGGACACAAAAAGTCCTGGTAGTCCAGGCATCGAGGCAAATATCTCCATGACAAAGTATGGCATCAGCTGACGAGGAGGCAAACAACATAGGGTTAGTGGTCTCCTCAGCAGTGTCTGAACTGTGCAAATGTAGCTTTTTAGCAAAAGAAAGTGAAAAAATACACGATTAATAGTAACAGAGGAGTTGCATGGACTAAGGTTGCTACATTCTAGCAAATGAGGTTATGACCTATCCAATTCCATGGACCCAAGGTCCAGCTGTAGGGGAGGGAGAGGGGCAGAAAAAGAGACAGTATTAGGAAAAAGGGGCTAGACAAACTTTAAAAGGTTCAGAGACTGTAAAAATGTTTCTTTTGTTTGCAATGTATATTTTCTTGTCTGTTTACCCTTAAATTTAGCAAGTAAACCCTAGAAACAAATGCTTAAGGGTCTTCAGGGAATCTAGGTGCTATGGTTCTACTTTGTAGCCCGATTTCTGAGAGAAGCCCCATAAGATAGGGTAAGATAGTGGAAGGTATAGGGGAAAACCGAGGAGATGACTGGTTCTCCTGAATGTTTGTCTAAAAAGCGAATTTTTAAGAGAATGTTTAGTGGAGAACATCGGGTGATACTGTTTGAGCTATGATGATAAGACATGAGCCAAAGCATTGGATAAATATGGGTCATTTTGTTACATTTGAGACCAAAGCATCATTAATCAACCTTGAGATGTATAGAAAGAGTTGAAAGGCAGCTTTGACAACCAAATCTTTTAGTTCAATCTCACCTCTCTTTGTCCTTGGCCTTGCCCTAGCCCCTGGCCTCATCTCCAAGGGCAAGGTGAAGTACCTTTTTTTGTTTTACATGTCCAATCCCTCATGTTAGACCCTAAGGTGTGGTGATATCACCCAGGAGGAGAGAAAAGAAATGTAGTCTTTTGGTCCAGGCGGAAGAAGAGGAAGACCCCACATTACCCATCAATGGCTAGAGACACACGCATTTCAGCCATTCCCAGGGACCTGACAGTAACACGTACCTGGTCTGGTGCTGAGACAATGCCAGAAGTCCAAGGATCGCAGTCTTTGAAGTAGCAGTACATGATTAAGCCAGAGAAGACAGCACAAAACAGAATGATCCAGAGACCCAACAAGTTGAAGTACAAGGCTCTAGAAAAAAAACGCACAGGTAGCCTCTATTCCATATTACAAAGACTCAAGGTGAAAGCTTTTTTGGCCTTGTTGCTTTAAAATAAGATTTTACAGCCTTCAAGAATTATTACATTTTGCCCTGGCTGGTGTAGCTCAGTGGATTGAGCGTGGGCCTGTGAACCAAAGGATGGAGGTTCGATTCCCAGCCAGGGCACATGCCTGGGTTGCAGGCCAGTTCCCAGCAGGGGACACATGAGAGGCAACCATACACTGATATTTCTCTCCCTCTCTCCTTCCCTTCCCCTCTAAAGATAAATAAATTTTTTAAATCTCTAAAAAATACTAAAATAAAGGCCATTTACTCCCATGTAAAATGTGTTAGATACGTTTTTAAAAAATAATTATTACACTTTATACTTTTACTCTTGTTTTTTTGTTTGAGAACAGTACAATTTTAGACTGATTACAAAATTTGACTGAAGTAGATTTGATGGATTTTTTTTGAAATTGAGAGTTTTTTTGCAAAACCTCAATGTGTGGTGTGAGATCTATTTTCTTAGATGAAATTTTACATAACAATCGCTTACCTATAACTTCAACTGATGCCCCTTCTACTCAATTCAGGAAACTGTCAAAAATCCAACTTACATTTTAACATATTTTCTTCCAGAGAAATAAAAAGATGAGTGCAGACATAGATAAGTTTTGGAAATACTCACTTCGGGGATTAATTCAGATGAAATGTGAAGTTAAGGGGCTTTTCTTGTTGTTGTTGTTGTTTTTAAGAAAACAGAAAATGCGAAGAGCCTTAAGGTCATTTTATCCATATTTTTGGGAGCAACTTGTTTTATTCCATAGCACATAGATATGCTTAATTATAGTTATGCATATGATTTTGCAGTAGCCTATGGCTGTTTTGTATTTATTACTGTTATGTGAAAGTAAAAAATTTACTCACTTTCTTAATCTGCAAACAGACTTGAAAGTAGGCTAGCTTTACAATACCTGAGAGAATAAAAAGGCTCATTCTGGCTCCAGTTGCAGAGAACCAGGAGAGAAGCATTGGGCACTTTCTTGGTTCCAGTCATTCAATGAAAGGAATTAAATGCATCCACATTCAAGTATAAGGAGCACACATTCATTTCAAAGTCCCCTAAAGCCTGTGCTGTGTAGGTATACTTGACTTTCAGAAAGCCCTGAAATCAAAGTATTTATTCTTGAAGCAAATATGTTCAATAATTATCTCATTGGTTGGTTTCTGTTTGACATTATTTACATTAGCAAAGAGTTTTACCTCAAAAGTTACTCTCTTGGGAGTAGTCTTACAATGTTTATCCTTTGAGTTTCATTTGTTTTTGTGTGTGTGGAGGGCTTGAATTAGACATAGCCTTTGGGAATACACTTGATACATAAAGTGATCAATACCTGTGGATTGCATTGGTTCTATTCAGGCAAACTCTCTGAACCAGCTTCTTCTGAGTACTTGTGATCTAGCAAGCAGTGAGCACACAGAACCCACATTCATGGAGGTGATATTCTTGGACTGGAGCCAAGCAATCATCTCTGACATGAACTAAATGAATGAGATGATCTTGGATTCACATCTAAGATATAAGAAATATAAAGAAAATAGACAAAGGCAATGGAAATAGAAAATGAGTGTGCGTGTATGTGGGTGTCCTCATCTTAGTGGGGAGATGGGATGGTGCTGGGGAGGGATGAGATAACCGGTCTGAACTCCCGTACCCTCAGAGCACCATTTTCTACACATAGGCCTAGCATAGAAACTGTACCTTCAACTCTCATTCATTTTAAAGCAGAGTTTTAAATGAATTTTAATTTTATATGAATCTTAATATCAAAAACATATTTGACATTAATACATTTTCATTAATTCAGTTATTTGATCAAGTGATGATGATGTGTTCAGAGAGTTTGTTGGTGTTATTTATTATCATCGGATATAAATATGCTACTAGTGTATTGCTGAAACACTAGTAATGCTTTCACTTCTTCCCTCCAAGAATGCGTGAAGTATATAAAGTGAAATATTCACTTTTAGAATTTAAGTTACAGATTGGTGAATCATGTCCAAGCAACTTCATTTCATTTGGTTTAAATAAGAAACTGCATTGAAAGTACTTTAAAGTCAGTTGCAGAAATATTCATGGTGGCTCTTTCCTGCTCTAGGAAAAGTTGAAGGCACCCTGACAAGTCAGGGGCGGCTGGAACTTTGGACAGCAGCAGCAAGGATAAAATGCTCATTTTAGATGACCTGTTAATTTATCTCCACCAGTTTTGCAGAAGAGTGCACGGTTTCTCTCGGTCCCCGTTTGAGAGTGCGGCTGACTTTTGGGGCTTGGGACAGGACTGACAAGCTGTGTGCCTGCTGGAGTCACCAGAGTACGCAGGCGTGGCAAGGATACCCTGGGAAAACTTGGAGCACCTAAAGCCCCATTACGACCTCCTTCTTCTTTTTAAATCTCTCGTTGAGAAATTTGAAGGTATAACCATCAAAAGAAAAACAGTAGCTGAAGAAACCACATGCTAAGTCAGTAAGTGATAAGGGTTATCTCATCACAGAAACTAAGAAATATATGCTGTTTACCTCTGCATTGCTCTACACAGCACCTAATTTAACCCTGTCATTTCTCAGTAAATAAAGGCAGAAAACGATGGAGAACAAAGGCAGACAGATTATTAAGTTCAAATCCCAGCTCTAATAATTCCTTGCTGAGATGGGAGTAATAATACATGCCTCAAAATATTGTTGGAAGAGTTAAATGAATCTTTCTGTTCCTCTTATAGGCACACAACATTAACAAGCATTAATGAATACCCAATAGGGGCAGATAAAACAGAGAAATATTTTTATTAATAACTCACAGCTTGGCATGCTTTTCTGTTTTGCAAGAAATGCATCGCTGGATGGTTGACTGATTAACTCCATAGACCCCGAGCCAGGTAAAAGTTCCTCCCACTGATATTGTCCAAAAAGTATGTCTCCTGAGAGGATCCATATCAAAGCTACAAGGCAGAGAGAAGAGAGTGAACAAAGATTTTTTTTAGGGGATTAGGTCATGCAGCTAAATCTTTATAAAAGATGAAAAAGTAGCATTGAACATACTCAATTCTGTCTAGTCGAGATCCATTTGCTGATTGCTCTAACACCCTTTGAAATCCACCAACTTCAGCTGATCCTTTAACGAGAACGGTTAAGAAGCCCACAAGCATGACAACCATCTGAAACGCATCTGACCACACCACTGCTTTCAGTCCTCCCTGAAATGGAGAGAATGGGTATGAGTTCTCAGCCTGAAGCCTGCAATTCTTCCAACTCTGTTAATATGATCTATGTTTCCATCCTTCCTTTCTTCTTTCCTCCTCCCCTTCCTTCCTTTCTTCTTTTTTCCCCTTTCTTTTCTTCAGCACAGTTGCTCAGCACCTTTTATGTGCCATGTATGATGTTAAGTATGGGATTAAAAGAGACAGATTTCTTCCTTAATTTCCGAATTAACTCTGTTAACTTCTTTTATAATCTGGTGGCAGAAGCAGATACTAGACAATAATACAGCTTTTAACTTAAAATTGTAGAAGGTGTAACCGAAGTATATAGCATGGAGTCCTGATCTGGTCTTAAGAGAGTGTCATTGGAGCCAAGCTCTGAAGAGTGAGGGGGCGTTTGCCAGGTCCAGAGAACGCAGTGCAGAGGGGAGCACCAAGGAGAAGTGAGGAGAGGCATGGCTGCCTGCGGATGCAAAGGAAAGCTAGGCCATACAAACTGAGGAATATGCACAGTGCCCATGGGGAGGCTGTTGAACTTGCTAGAGACCAGAACACACAGACTATGACACGACTACATAAACGATTTCTTCGGAGCAATAAGAGAGCATTAAATAGATTTATGTGATGAAAACTTTTGTTTGTTCCACAGTAGTTTCAGTAACAGCTGGGTGGACAGGAGATTTCAAGGACCATAGCAGAACAGGAGTGGAGAGAGCAACTCAGGGTTTTATTTGAGTTGCCCATGTGACAACAGGTTGAAGTAAGGCAAAGATTGAAAGGACTTGATGGATTTGAATGATATGTGGGAGTTAAAATCAACATAGGTTGTGATTAACTGAATACAAGTGAGAGGGGAATGAGGATAAGCACCCAGGCCAGGCTTGTGCAACCTGAGATTTCTTTTTGTAAAGCTAGAGACAGTGAATACAGTGTGGAAAGCTGAAATGGTAGAACACTTAGAAGAAGAAAGAACTGGAAAGGTATGATAGATTCTGGATATTCATGGAGAAAGGAGTTTTAAGATCTAGAAGATGGTGAAATAGTGGGTTGAGTGAACCAGAATTTCAGGAATATGGAACTAACAGTACAACACAGCACAGTGTGATTGGACAAGAGGTTAGGGAGGTGCTTGGAGTTCCTTGGAGAACCTGAAAGCAAACAAACAAAACAATATCTGAGCCCCTTTCCCAAGGATTCTGAATAAACTGAGGTCTACTGGGGTAGGAATCAGTCCTCAGTGTTTTTTGAAAGTTCCCCAAGTGATTCTAATGTACAGTTCTAGTTGAGAACTTGTGGACAAGAAGGAAAGAGGAAAGAAAGAGACTGGTGCAATAATCCAGGTATAAAATCCCATAGCACCTTGTTGAAGGTGGAATGAGCAAATAAGAGAAATGAGAAAGATTAAATGAAATAATGTATTTAAAAGAGCTTTGAAAATGAATAGCGCTGTGAGAAAGAAAGGGCATAGTATTTTTAACAATAAAAAATAGAATTATCTTCCCCTGTTACTCCTCCAGAGTGTCAAGAACTTCTGTGAAAAGATGATAGGCATCATCTTCATCTTAAAAAGAAAGATGATATTAGGGTTGTCCCATCATTTCTTTTGGAATCACAATTAAAATACAATGAAAAATACATTAAATTTCCTGCCAGAGGCACCTGATTTTATATTATGTTCAGATTCTGATTTGAAAAATAGTCAGTTTCTTAACTCCCACCTCCCAAAGAGTAGCATTTTCATTTTCTCTAAAGACATGGAAACTTCCAAATTGAAATCTCAACATCAGAGATAGTGATATGAAGATCAAATGTCAAAGACCTCAGTTTTCAGAGAGTAGTTCACATTGGTTATGCAAAAATATGCATAAACCTGAACTTCAGCTAGACATGAGGCAAGAGAACAAACCACTTTATCAAAAGTTCATTAAATGATAGGTTATAACCCCCCTGAAAACTGCTCTGACTCTGACTCCTTCACATAGCAAGACACACATCTCCATGCATGTGTGCACACACAACCACATACACACACACCACTAATCAGGATTGTGCCATAGTGTCACTAAGTGTTTAACGGGTCTGTGTTATTTGACATCCAGTGTTTATTAGATTGCATACCCCTGCATGGCAAGTGTCACTTCCTATTTCCGTAATCTCTTTCCACCACAAATGTTTTAGGCTGGGCAGCCACAGGATTACCAGTGTCAAGTGTCTGCAGCATGTCCGAGCAAAAGTGTTAGACATGAGCCACCATTTGGTGAGACATGGGAGCCTCTAACCTGGCTAGAGAGCAGGGGGAAGGAACAGGGGTGTGGTGGGAAGAAATAGCTGGGTGGATTTATTCACCTAAAGAAAGGTTTCCAGCCCTGGCTGGCATAGCTCAGTGGATTGAGCACAGGCCTGTGAAGCAAAGGGTTGCCGTTTCGATTCCCAGTCAGGGCACATGCCTGGGTTGCAGGCCAGGTCCCCATTAGGGGACACATGAGAGGCAACCACACATTGATGTTTCTCTCCCACTCTTTCTCCTTCCTGTCCCCGCTCTCTAAAAATAAATAAATAAAATATTTTTTTTAAAGAAAAAGACAGGTTTCCAGTACTAGGCTAAGAAGCTTATACTTTATCCTGTAAACAGTAGGATGCAAGAAGAGAATTAGTTCAGTCAAGTGGCTTGAAGAAATGGATGTTTCCAGATTAATATGTCACAGGCCCGTAGTGTGGGAGGGAAGCACTGAAACCAATTAAGAAGTAATAAAGTTAGTTTATTTTAGCTTATTCTGATTATTGAACTATCCAGACTTGTTTCTGACATGTTACTATTCGGGTTCTATTTGTTCTGTTTTCTCTATGCTTCCCCCGCCATCTTTTCTTCTCTTCCTTAAATCAGTTGAGGTTTGTTTAGTAATTATTTTAATTCCATTTTTTTTCACTTTGATCATGTTATTTAAATGAGTCCCCATAAAATTTTTAATTTAGAGTCTAACTTTTAAAAAATGTCAATTCAGGGCTTATAAAATCTTTAAGTCTGCTTAGTCTCTTCCTCATTTTACACACTATTGTTGTCCAGCTGGCGATTATTCTTTTTCTTAATCCCCAAATTACATGTAGCAATAACAATTATTGTGTTTTAATATTACATAATTTTATATGTAATTAGATACTATATAAATTATACTATACTTTAAAATTATTATTATCATTAAGTACCAAAAATTGTTTGGCTAGACTTTCTAAATGTTTACTATTTTATTATCTTATTACTTTTTCAATCTAAAACTGGATAATTTTTCCTCTTTCCACAACACTTCCTCCAGGTTCTCAGGTGAAGATATTTTAGTGGTAACTTCTCTTGGTTCTTGAGGGTCAGCTCCTGAAATATTGGTTTGCTAAATACACAATTCTAAGTTGACAATTTTTTTCACTTCAGTGCTTTGAAAATGTTATTGCACTATTTCTGTCTTTCACTATTGTTGCTAAGAAGTCAGCATTTAGCATCCCTAGCCATGTATCTCCTTATCATTGTATGAGCAGGTACGTCAGAGCAACTAATCTCAGATAATGCCAGATACTTAAGGAACAGGAGCCTATTTTTAACCTTGGGAGGAGCTGTGTGTGACTGGAGTAGAATGGTATGGGAGTGAGGATGGAATGGAAACAAATTAAGATAAAACTTCCTAGTGTAAACAAATGGTGGGAATTGCAAGTATGAAAAAGAGAGATAGGGGCATTTTAAATTATATATTCTCATGATACATATTTAAAAAGTATGTGGTATGCACATAATGCCAAAATACATGTAGGTCTACTACATGACAACATATCAAGTACTTTATTTCTCTATAAAAAGAAGGAAAGAGAATCCAACTATTGGGAAACCATTGCCATATTCTTAATTGGTTACTTACAGCCTTTGAATTGTATATGGTGCTAATGACTCAGGAGAAGAGAGATTCCCATTGCAAGGCATGGCAAATAAGAGGTGCTCCATGAATGTTTGTTGAACTAAACTAATTGTAGCAATTGTATAAATATCTTGCCTGCACCACCAGATTCCTTAGTTAAAGACTGAGCATGTGTAAAGCCAAATCTATAAATGAGAGACAAAAGCAAGCTGTGGAATGCTCAGGTTTACAAAATACCAGCCATCCTTGATTATTCACACATGCATTTTGTATTTCTCAACCATTAAACAGGGAAGTATAAATTCTACTCATGGTATAGAGTCACTATTAAGGAGCTTTTTTGCTTTCTCAGAAGTTGCATGTGGTCACCTAATCCTCTGATCAAGGAGGTATTTTACTCCCTAAGTCTTCTCTTAGCCGCGGCTTTCTCAAATGAGCTCAGCGCTTAAATTCCACTAATGGTTGATACCAAAAATAGTTTTAAATAAAACAACAGCACCTTCCTCAGGAAACAGTAACAGATAAGCCAGCATACTTGTGTTTAATTTCGGAATAGCAGTTTCTGCTATATTTAGAACCCCTTCTGCTGGAGATTTGCCCTTATCCTGTATTAGGAGATAGTGCTAAATACTTTTTCACAACTAGGTACATACCAGAGTACAGTAGAATGTGCAAACAACTCCCGTTGCAAATACGGAGCCCCAGAGATCAAACCCAGTCACTGCAAAGGAGAAAAAAATATTGAAAGGAGTTTTTCTGAGAAAAGCAAAAGAGCAAGCATTATAAGGGAAAAACGTCAATATTTTTGTCAGTGTTCTATGTGGGCAAATGAAAATAAAATTAGAGGTTTTTCTCAAATTTTATCACTTCTGATAAGATCATTTTATTATATCGTTATACATCAACCGAGTTTATAAATTTCACATAATGTTAAAATTCAAACTTTTCCTCCTAAAATTCTGGAGCTTGCAATCTGCACCAAATACTTGTATTTGTTTTTCCTTAACAAAGTCAGCATGAGTACTTTGAAACCAATTAAACATCAGTCATGAACTGACATTTCTCAGTATGAGTAGAGACCCTAATTGAACTGACTATTGACAACTTTCAATCTGACAGGTATGAAATTTATTTCACTTGTTTTCCCTTTTTGTGTCCAGGATTCTATTCTCTCAAAGGGGTCAAGTATCAATTTTGAAGTAATTACTTCAAGCACATTCTATTTTTCTACTCAGATTATCAACTTCATGAAATCACTGAGAAATCACCATTTGTATAGGTGACTTTACTTAGTCCTGTGTCTATACCATACCAAACCTGCCGTAGTTACAGTGACTACAAAACAAAACAAACGACAATTAAATTGTGCGTGGAACCATGTGAGCAAAACCAATCACTGTTTCAAGGTTCTCTTTTGACAACTTCATATCATGACTCCTACAGTAATTCAGAGCAGTCTAAAAACAGGAATGTCTCCCCAAGGTTCTTTATGTTTTCTTCTCAAGGTGAGAATGCATGCACAAAAATGGTGGGCTGTACCCAGGGAAAGGTCGGCAACTTACCTTGGTTGAGCGCTAGGGCGGGAGCATACACCACCACACCTGTATAGAGAATCTGGTAGAGAAACAAGAATTAGGTGAACACTGAGAAAAATGACACAGAAACGAAAACTGCCTAGAAAGTTCTTTATTGACCGTAGAGATATATCTCCTTCACCTTGTTTGCCAAACCTTTCATTCCCATCCATTCTCATTTTGAAGTTGGTGGCCCCTGTAACTAGTTTGCAGAAGGGATGTAAGGATTAGATGGAGGAATACCTAACAGGGTGGGACTTTTAAGATGGCTGCAAACTTTGGCATTTTATGGCTAGATTTTGTGTACTTCCAAAGAATAGAAAACTGGGTTTCAAGTTTTTGATTCACTCTCTCTCTCCCTCCAGCACACATCACAATGGCACAGTTATGGTTAGCAGTTTGTACAATACGGATGTTGAAGACAGAGAGCATCTGTGAGGATGAAGTACCATGCAAAGAAGACTACAACTGCACACCAGGTACACCTTCTAACTCCCAGAATGGCAACCACGCACTGATGGAAGTGGGTACCGTCCCATTCTATTTTAAATGAAATTTCACCATTTAGAGATGTGGGGGGGGGTTTTAAAAGGCAAATACCTATGAACAGGTCAAGGAGCATTCTGTTCCTCATATTGCCTCCCTCAAATTCTTCAGTCCCTGAGTGGGAGTTTTGATTAAGAAACAGGAAGAAGGTGATCTTTTAGCAGAAAGTGCTTCCTGGGCAGTGGAAATGCACCAATGGGGTGCCCCAGGTAAGCTTGAGGCTTAGATGAAGGTCCCCCAGAGCCTGGGAGGCAGGAGAGGAGTCCAAAAGGAAAAAGTGCTAGTATTGGTTTGGAAATATTGTCTTCAAATGAGTTTCAACAAAATGAGTATTTCTGGTTCAACTCAGCTAGTTTAAAAAAAGAAATCAGTTACAAACTGACAATAATCAGAGGGGAGGAGGATAACAGAGAAAAGGAGGTCAAGGGTCGTCAAGGAACAGGTATAAAGGACCCACGGACAAAGACAATGGTGCAGGGGGAGGATTGAATGTGGGAGGTGGGGGTGGGTACAATGGAAAAGAGTAATGGGGAAAAATGGGGACAGCTGGAATTGAATGATTAAAAAAAAAGAAAAAGAAATCAGTCAACAGGCCATTTCCTATCTTTATATACAAAGCAACTTGTACAGGTTAATTAGGAGTTGATATGAATTTTAAGCAAATGTTTTTTGTGTGGTCTTGATATACACTTGCTTGTTATTTGTACGTACTTATGGGGCATATGCAACAGGTGACTCTGGATTAAATCAAGATATGATCACATATCTTGAAAGTGCTATCCCTGAAAGAATGTAGTTTCGTCTTAGTATGACGTCTCCCTTGTAGTTGGGTTAACTACCCCCTGAAACACACAAACCTGTGCCTTGTCTGCCCACAGTCCCACATCTGTGGCTGCCCATCTCCTTACCTACCGTCTGCACAATGTAAATGAGTGTTGCTGCGTAGCGAACTGGTCTGTTGAATCGTAGCTGTAAGTACTGTAGAGAATAAACAACAAGCACAAAGTCAGTGAGTTTCACGTGGAGCTGCTGTTTTCACTTTTTTTAAATTTAGTGCTTTGGGTTTATAATGCGATTTTAAGCTATCTGCTTGGCAGAATAGAACAAACAGTTGGATTGTTTAAAATCAAAAATATGTTGAAAGTCAATTCTTGCTCAAGCTTCTCATGATGGCCAGGAAACATAAACAGTTGCTTGAAAACAAATCCACTTATTCTGCCTTTCTACTCAGGATTTTTCTACTAGATATACCCAAGCCATCATTTCTTTTTATATTCTCACCGCTCCAAAATTTACCTCAGGCTTTTATTTTACCTTTCCTAGATTACTGCATAGCTGCCTAATCGGTCTCCTGAATTCCAGTCCGTCCACCTGTTTCATCAACCACACATCCAATCATGTTGGCTCTCCTACACGGAACTCTGTTCATGCCCCTCTTTTTCTCAAAATCTTAAACTATTCTGTATCACGAAAGCTTCATATTCTAAACCCTGTATTTTCCGATCCATAGTTTTCCTATGTTAAGTCAACCTAGAAAGACAGTATGGAGAAAAGGATACATTTTAAAAAAACCTGAATCAGAAATAAGGCTCCTTGAATTCTAGTGTGAGCTATGCCACTATCTCACTCTTTGATCTAAGCTTCTCATCCATGAAATAACGGAGACTATCCCTTCACATAATTTTACATCTGGGAGAATGTATTAACTCATTTGGTGCGTTCCGTGGCCATCTTCAGCATGTCTACCACTATTACTACAGTCAACAGACTGTGAAATGAAAAATGAAAGTTCAACAGGAAAGCCTCTTTTTTCTGGGATGCATTTACCATCATGATGTTAAATTAATTTCAAACCCCCAAGCCTGGCCTAGTCCCCTTCTCTTCCATTTCAGGAAATAAATAGCAAGGCCACTTTTCATGTTGGTTCAAGACCAAAGAACATGGAGCCAGCCTTGACGCCTCACTTCCTCTCTCTGCTCACATCCAGTCCATCACGTAATCCTGGGGCCTGCCCCCCACTTGCACAATGTACATATTTAGTTGCACCATCTCCTCTGTTGCCACTGCAACACCATTACCTCTTGCCTAGATCATAGCAATAGCTTCCTAATTAGAACCCCTGCTTCTGCAGTCAAATTTCTATAATCATTCTCAACATCCAATCAGTGTAATACTCAAAGTACCAATCACATCTTGTCATGCCTCTGCCCAAACACTGTAAGGACCCATCTCCTGGAGAGGATGAACCAATCCTTACAATTACCTAAAAAAAAAAACTTCATAACATGGGTTCAGGCCCTAAATATCTATTTCACAACAAACATTTAATAACATCACTTACTGTGCTAAAAGAAGATTCAATAATGATATATCTATACATCTAATTTCTCAAAATTTAAATATAACCACTATGATATCACAAATGTAACTTAAAGGAGAAATAAAAGGAAAAATTTAGTTAAAAAAGTAGTCTATAATGCTTAAAACCACTATCAAAGAGAATATACAGAAATAATATTCCTTGTAATTACAATGAAGACGTTTGAATTAATGAGAAGTAAGGAGTTTAGAAGCCATTTCACTGCACAAGTCCAAGAAAACTGAGAGAGCAGGTAGACACGAACCTCTAAACTAGTGGTAAGGGTAAATAATAATCTGAATTTATTATTGTATAATTAAAAATATAACATCAACTGAAATAGAAACAGCACGTTGAGACTAATTATATTTTTTAAGATTTTATTTTTTTATTTTTAGAGGCAGAGGAAGGGAGGGAGAAAGAAAGGGAGAGAAACATCAATGTGTGATTGCTTCTCTCTTGTCCCCTACTGGGGACCTTGCCACCCAGGCATGTGCCCTGACTGGGAATCAAACCAGCAACCCTTTGCTTCACTGTCCAGCATTCAATCCACTGAGCCACACCAGCCAGACCAAGACTACTTATAAACTAAGGGAAGATAATGCAAATGTATGATATTGGAAATGAGCTGAGGCTAATTTATAACTTGAGGGTGAGAACAATTCCTTCTGTTTTGACATGGGACAGAATAGTGACAAAGTAGTACAGATAACATATTTTAATCGTGAAATCTCACTGTTATTGCCATGTGATATCCACCTCAAAGCTCACAGGTTTAAAAATCAAGGATGTGTTATTTCTTCTAATTTTGAAGATCAGCTGGGTGATTCCTCTACTTGGTTCCCCTCGGCTTTCATGGGGTTGAAACCAGCTGGGTGAGAAAGTCCAAGATGGCCTCACTAACACATCTGGTAATTGGTGATGGCTGTCAGCTAGGGTGTCTTTGCTTCCCTTCATGTTTCAACTCATACTCCAGCAGCTAGACCAGCTGGAACAGCTCCCTGACCCAGCAGTATTTGTACAGCATGCCAGGGAAGCAAAAGCAGAAGCTATGAGCCTAATGAGGCCTAAGCTCCTCCACACATCGCTTCTGCCACATTCTGTTGGTCAAAAAAAAATCACAAGATCTGTCCAGGTTCAAGGGTTGTGTAAATAGACTCTACTCTCTTTGGTCTTTAGGACTTAAAAAGATCCCAGAAAGAAGATTTATGGGTAGGGAACAGGAAATGGAAGATGAACAAAGAAACAAATTCAAGCATCAGTAGCTAGAGAATATTAATAATAATACTACAAAACTCTTAGGTCAGATTTACTGTTTGCCAGACTGCACTAAAAGTATTTGTATATGAATGTCAACTGTAATTGAAAAATTAAAAAGTATTTGCATATGATACCACATTACTCTGCAGAGACATCCTTTGAGATAAGTGATTTTTATTATCACTCATTTACATATGTAAGAATTAAGTACAGAGAAGTTAAGTAATTTTCCCAAAGTCACACACTAGCAAGTGGCCAAACTAGTATTCAAAGCCAAATACACTGAGTCTAGAGTTCACACTTTAAACCCCTATGCCATACTGCCAAATCTTATAGAATAAGAGGCAATCCCAAAATAAACTCATATGTACTTAACATGTAAGTTTGATTTCTTATTATTAGAATATAGAAAATTAAAAAATATGTGAAGGGCAGTAAGTTTTGTGAATGAAATTCATACAAAGTAATCCTGTAGGCATTCCCACATATAGATATATTTTAAAACAAGAGGTAATTAACTTTTTCAACCCTTATTTGTCCCATGGACGCACTGATCCTGTAAATGTGTTTACTCATTTCTCTACTAATTTCATAACTAAAACAGAGTTTCAAATCTCCTCAGTTTCATATTTGGTTCAATGCTTTATCTCCAGAGATGTGCTTGGAACATAGTAGCTGCTTAATGAATATTTGTTGAAGGAGTGTTTAGTGGACTAATGACTTTCAACATTTGGGTATGTTTTGATAATGAAAAACCTTTTTAACACTTCACAAAAGCTTCATAAAATATGGCAGTTATTTTCTACGTGGAAACTAGAGTTGATAAGAGCTAAGTAACACAAAAAGTGATCTCGCTGTTAAGCAATGGATTTAGACATTGAACTTGTATTTTCTGAATCTAAGAGTCTCTCTCTCTCTCTTTCACAAACACACACACACATACGCACACACACTTCTTTTTAAAACACTAGCAATGCCTTTGGGAGTCCAAATTTAATAGATGAATGGAGAAAAACTAAAATATATTTCCATTTTCAGAAGTACTCTAATGAACAATGGGTGTATCTGTACATATATTTTAAGACTAAGCATAAATTTAGTCATTCTGTATTGAATCTATATCCTAGGTAGTAACTAGTGTATAACCCGGTCTTTATTTCCTTTTTTGGGTAGGGAGAGAAGGTTAATGTTGAATTTTAGGGATATAATCATCTGTGGAATCAAAGTTTTAAAACCTTCTAGTAAGTGTGCAATTGCCTGAATGGCTTTGAGGTCTAGAGTAATCCTTTATAATCATTTAGCTTACAGAAATAAAAAGAAAAAAGTCTGTTAAGAGTTCTCTGCTGGGACTTAGTAAAGATAAAATTTGATAAGGAAAATAAACACCTTTTTTATAGAAACTGATTATTAATCACAACTAAATATTGGACATACATATTCAATGATTTAACTTGATATTTTTCTTGAGAATTTTTGCAAAGTCAAAACACACCTCATTTTCCTTTCATTAAAATAATTCACATATGTGCTTTATTTAGCAATTCATTCCTATTAAAATAGTTTTTAAATTTTTAAAAACATTACTATTTCCCCATTAATAATTGGACCACAATGGTAGTTTGTATTACAGTGCTCAGCTCTGCTCTAATGGAAAAAGACACAGACAAAATAAGTTCTCAGCAGGCTTTACTCACTATGCAATCTTGACTGAGTCATTCATCTGTACTATCTCTGTTTTTAGCTGGAGAATGACAAGTTCATGGCATATGTCATGCATGCTTTTCAGAATGATGTTAATAATAATACAAATAATAACCTTAGCTCTCTTTCATTGAGAATCTCTTACAAGTTAGGCAGTGTCTTGGGTGCTTACATATGTGTTCTCATTATATCACTAAAATAGCTTCATAGTGTTGACTTCATTTTGTCCTACAGATGAAAGAATAGGTGTGTTTGTATCCAAAGCTTAAGCTTGTCTCAATAATATTGTAATATCTTTTCTTGAAAATAAGTGTATATTCTTCAATCTCCACATGTTACCATTAAGAGGACACGTGTTATTACAGAAAAAAGCAAGAATAACAAAAACATTGTTCAAGTGGAGATAGAATACCAACTCCTCCTAAAATAAAAAATAGGGGAATAGCTGTCTTACCTCATAGGTGCTGGTGATGCCAGATTGGTAGAACACAGGCAGAAAGAGCTCTGATGTCAAGATGATGACAAAAGTATAGGCAATGGCGAAGAGCCCAAAAGAGGCCCCAAAGCGGTAGACGTCGGAAGGGGTGCCCAGGACAGTGACGGCTGACATGAAGCTGGCTGTCAGAGACAGGGCCACAGGACCAAAGGTCATTTGTCTTCCCCCCACTAAGAACTCCTTTGAAATTGCCTTCTTTCTCTCCTTAACAGCAAAGAACACTCCGATTCCAGACGAAACAATAAAGAGGGCTGCAAATACGAGGTAATCCCAAACCTTGAAGTTCTTCACCTCCATGCTGGGAAGTTATGGCACCAGAGAATTGCTTTCAACCAGGCCTCGGGGACAAGTTGGTTCCAAATGCAAAGCTCAGTACAGTAGATGTTTTGCCCAGAGAGCAGACTGATTCTGTGAAGAGAATGGTGACCAGAGGCACTTTATGGGTCTTCAAACACCAGGTTGTGCTCAGAGAAGATCTGAAAAGTTGGCTACAGAGAGGAATCTGGTAACAAGCATTGACACCAACAGATGAGAAATTAAAAAGTGACCCTGACCAGGAACTTTATTCCTTTACTTAAGCATATGCCACAGAGAAGGAATTCAGATGTGTTCTGAAATTAATAACAAACTGCAGGAGGGTGGATGTGGAATGGACTTGCCAGATAACGTGCTCTTTTATCTCCAGATTTTTTTAAACTTAAGGTTAAACATTACTGGGAAACAGAGGTGATACAAGCTGACCACTTCAGCATTTTAAATTTGTGAAATGGAATCTGTAAAATGCAAACACAGCCCCCTCAGTGGCATCTTTCTCCTGAGTAAGGGAGGGTGGGGGGCGGGGGGTGGGGTGTGAACCTGCAGCTGCCTGAGACAGTGAGTGTGGGGGGAAAGGAGCAAAGAACCAGGAAACAGGCTTTTGTTCAAGTTGGCTTGACCTTCAACTGAGCTATGATATTGTTGACAAACCACTTAACTTTTCTGAGATTCATAGGAACAAAGGAATAATGATCTTATAGAGTTATCATGAGTCTTTAAGGGTCTCAAACTTCCTGACTTCTTTTATCTGATCTTTAAAATGAAAGACAATAATACTATTTAGCTTTTTGGCTATTCTTTATGCTTACAGGGAAGCATATTGAACTTAACAATAGATTCTCTCTTGACACTAGGCCTCAGAAAATGGGCTTACCAAAAATGAATAAATTTTTTGTAGTCCTCAGCTTTATCTTTTCCATCTCCCCTTTATTTTGACCACTTTATAATGTTTCTACCCAGGGGCTTAGTTAGAATTAAGATCACGACAAATGAGAGAAGGAAGGTGAAAATCCAGTTGTAGATTCTTGTTTCTGTCCTGGTTAGACTCCGTCAGTTGTTCTGAAGTATCCCCAGCAAGCCTTTGGTGGCAATTTCTCAATGTTGTTTATGCTTCCCTTCCTTCTCAAAGGTTTTTTGCAACCCCACCTCAACAAAGCACAAGACCTGGTCCCTGTCTCCTTCGTTCCTTGGAGCCTCTCTTGCCCGCTCACCCCAACCCAACTCCGGCAGGATGCAATCTCCCTTGGGACTTTGTTATTTGCAAGTGCCCTCATCAATTTTAAAGACTATGGCTGTGTGAGTTGGTCAGCTGTTATAAAGGCACAAGTCCTGGTTGAGAGAGCACGGTGAATAGTAGCTACTGTACAAAATAAAGAAATAATTTTAAAAGCAAAAGAAGAAAACAAAATTTACCCATAATGCCCAAAGCCAGACATTTTCTGTCAAAAATAAAAAAACTCTAATTTCGCTTTTGGCATCCAGGTAACTGAATAAATCTTTTATTGTTTGTTTAGCATGGACACCGTCTTCATTCCTTACTTTACTTCATGAATTTGAATTCAGCACAGAAAGCTTTGATGGCTGAAATGTGCTGTTAGTTATAGATAAAAGTGCAAAGTCTATACCGAGAGCTTTCTGTGACTGGTTTTTATTTTTTTAATGATTTCTTTAATTCTTTTTTTAAGATTATATTTATTCATTTTTAGAAGGGAAAGGGAAGGAGAGAGGGAGAGAAACATCAATGTATGGCTGCCTCTTGCGTATTCCTCTTGGGAACTGGCCTGCAACCCAGGCATGTGCCCTGACTGGGAATCGAACCGCGATTCCTTGGACCACAGGCCCGTGCTCAATCCACTGAGCTACACCAGCCAGGGCTGTGACTGGTTTTTTAAGTTCCTCCTCTAAGTCTGCAGAGTTGATATGATCAATGTTAACAGAAAATGTCTTTAATATTTTCACCTTAACCTAAAGTTTTAGTCATTTTTATCATGAGATATTCTAATTATATAACAGGTTTTTGTAATAGTCTCAGCAGAAAATCTGAACTCTGGCTTCCAGCGGCTTGACCACTTAATATACCACCTAAGAATTAATATTAAATCCACAAGGCATATAAACAACTTGTACAAGTCAGATGACTATTAACTCAAAACACTGTTATTATATCTGTAATGTTCAAAGGTTAAATACCAGGAGTGTGTAGTTGCAGAGTCAATGAATACTGCTGATCTTATTATTATTTTTTATTGAATTTATTAGGGTGACATTTATTTGAAAATTATATGATTTTGTAGGTGCAATTCTATAGTACATTGTCTACATACTGTGTTGCATGTTTACCACTGCAAGTTCCCTTCCGTCACCATTTACCCTCCGTTTACCTCTCCTATCTCCCCACACCCCCGTTTCCTTCCGGTCATCACCATACTACTGCCTGTCTCCAAGGGTTTTTAAATCCCCTTACCTTTTTCATCCTACTCCCCTCCGCTCCTGCTCCCCTCTGAGAGCTGTCAGTCTGTTCTCTGTATCTATGAGTTTGTTTCTATTTTGATAGTTTGTTTTGTTAATTAGATTCCACACACACACAAGTGAAACGCCCTGGCTGATGTGGTTCAGTGGATCGAGTGCTGACCTGTGAACCAAGGGGTCATGGTTTGATTACCAGTCAAGGCACATGCCTGGGTTTGGGGCCAGATCCCCAGTAGGGGGGACTTGAGAGGCAACCACACATTGATGTTTTTTTCCCTCTTTCTCCCCATTTTCCTCTCTCTTAAAATGATTATATAAAATCTTTTTAAAAATCCACATATAAGTGAAATCATATGGTATTTGTCCTTTCTCTGACTGGCTGATTTCATTTAGCATAGTACTCTCCAGGTCCATCTATGCTGTTGCAAAAGGTAAGAGTTCATTCTTTGTTTAAAGCCAAATAGTATTCCATTGTGTAAATGTACTACTGCTCTTAAAGCCACTAATCTACTGAAGGGGATTTTGGCTGCTTTTGAATCTTGGCTATTGTAAATAACCCTATTTACTGCAGTGAACATAAGTGTGCATGTATTCTTTCAAATTAGTGTTTTGGGTTTCTTTGGATATATTATTAGTAGCAGAATCACTTGATCATAAGACATTTTTAATTTTTTGAGGTCATTCCAACAGCTTTCCACAGTGGCTGTACCAGTCTATATTCCCACCAATAATACACAAGAATTTCCTTCTATACATGTGCTTGCCAGCACTTGCGATTTGTTGATTTATTGATGATGGCCATTCTGACTGACGTAAGTTGATATTTCATTGTGCTTTTAATATGCACTTCTCTAATAATTAGGGATATTGAGCATCTTTTCATATGTCTATTGGTCATCTTGTATGTACTTTTTTGAGAAGTGTATATTCAAGTCCTTTGCCCATTTTTTAATTGGATTGTATGGTTTTTTGGTGTTGAGTTTTATCAGTTCTTTATAAATTTTGCATATTAACCCCTTATCAGATATATCAGTAGATATGTTCTCCCGTTAAATAGGTTGTCTTTTTGTTTCGTTGATGGTTTTCTTTGCTGTACAAAAACTTTTTAGTTTGATGTAATCCTGTTTGTTTATTTTCCCTTGCCTGAGGAGATATATGAGAAAAATATTGCTACAAGCAATGTCTGAGGCTATTCTGCTTACGCTTTCTTCCAGGATTTTTGTGGTTTGGGGTTAAACATTTAAGTCTTTAATCCACTTTGAATTAATTGTTGTGTGTGGCATAGAAGGTGATCTAGTTTCATTTTCTGCACACATATGAGTTCAATTTTCAAAAGTCTACTTATTGAATAGACTGTCTTTAGCCCACCCTGCCAAATATTAATTGAGTATAAAGTTGTGGGTTTATTTCTGAGCTCTCTATTCTATTCCATTGATCTACATGTCTGCTTTTATGCCACTATCATCTTTTCTGATTATTATGGCTTTATAGTATAGTTTGATATTAAGTAAACTGATTCCTACAACTTTGCTCTTCTTTCTCAAGATTGCTATTGCTATTTGGGGCATTTTGTGGTTTCATAGATTTCTTTGGGTAGTATGGACACTTTAATGTTCTTAAGTCTTCCTATCCATGAACATAGTATGTGCTTCTAATTATTTCTATCTTCTTCAATTTCTCACTTCAGTGCACTATAATTTTCTGAGTATGGGTCTAATACAACCTTGGTTAGATTTATTCCTAGGTATTTTATTCTTTTTAAAACATTGTGAATGGAATTGTTTTCTTAATTTCCCTTTCCAATAGATCATTATCAGGATTTAAAAATGCAACTGACATCTGGATATTAATTCCATATCTTGCTACTTTGCTGAATTTATTTATTAGTACTTTAGTTTCTTGGTGGAATTTTTGGAGTTTTCTACAGACAGTATCATGTCATATGCAAATAATGACAAATTTATTTCTTTCTTTTTAGATTAGATGTGTTGTATTTCTTCTTGTCACATTCCTATGACTAGAACTTTCAGTACTATGTTGAATAAAAGAGGTGAAAGCCGATACCCCTGTTTTGTTCCCAAAATTAAGGGGAACAATTATAGTTTTTGCCCATTGAGTATGATGCTAGCAGTGGGTTTTTTATATATGGCTTTTATTATGTTTGGGTATGTTCCCTTTATTTCAACTTTGCTACAATTTGTATCGTAAATGGGTGCTGAATTTTACTAAATGCTATTTCTGCATCTCTTGATATGCTCAAATGGTTTTTCTCTTACATTTTGTTCATGTGATGTATTAAGTTTATTGATTTGCAAATGTTGTACCAACCTTGTATTCCTGGGATAAATCCCACTTCATCATGATGTATGATCTTTTTGTTATATTGCTATATTTGGTTTGTTAATATTTTGTTGAGGACTGTAGCACTACATTCATCAGGGATTTTGGCCTATAATTTTCTTTTTTTGCAGTGTGTTTATCTGGTTTTGAAATTAGGATAATGCTGGCCTCATAAAATAAACTTTGGAGTCTTCCCTCCTTTTGAATTTTTTTTGAAATAGTTTTGAGAAGGAGAGATTTTAGTTCTTGAAATGTTTGGTAGAATCCATGTAAGAAGCCATCTAGTCTAGGAATTTTGTTTGTTGGAAGTTTTTGGATTGCTGCTTCAATTTTACTAGTTGCAATCTGTCTATTCAGATTTTCTGATTCTTGCTGATTCAGTTTTGGAAAATTGTATGTTTTTAAGAATTTATTCATTTTTTTCCAGTTTATTGGCATGTTGTTGTTTGTAATATTTTCTTACAATCGCTTGTATTTCTGTGGAGTCAGCTTTACTTCTCTACTTTAATTTCTGATTTTAT